TTGGATGTGGGGAAGAAAGGTGGGTCTTATAAAATAGGTATGGACAGTAGAGCACCATGTTGGACCCGGGGGAGCAGTAGAGTACCGAGTCGGGGCCGAGGGAACCCGTAGAGTCGGTCCAGGAGAAGTTGTAGACGAGTGGCAGGCACAGTTGAAGTTGTAGACGTCTGGCAGGAGCAGTTGAAGTTGTAGATGGCTGGTAGAAGTCGTTGAAGTTGTAGACGGGCCGATGAAGTGCAGGAAGGGGGGGGGGGGGGGTTCTAGGTCGAATCTAAGGTCTAAGTGCCCTACTGTCTACACCTATTGAATAAGAACCCGTGCCTTTGGATATAACTCGGAGGTATGAAAGCCTGAACCTATGGAGAGAATATTTTTTAGAAGGGGGGTCGGTCAGTTCATTGCGGGATTTTCAGTGTGGGCCATTTTTGGAAGTGACATTTTGTCTGTGGGACGAATTGGGGAGTGACATTTTGTTTGGGACGAATTGGGGAGTGATGTTTTGTCTGTGGGACGAACTGGTGAGTGACATTTTGTCTTTGGGACGAATTGGGGAGTGACGTTTTGTCTGGGACGAATTGGGGAGTGACGTTTTGTCTGGGACGATTTGGGAAGTACATTTGGGTCAGACTTGGATGTGGGGAAGAAAGGTGGGTCTTATAAAATAGGTATGGACAGTAGAGCACCATGTTGGACCCGGGGGAGCAGTAGAGTACCGAGTCGGGGCCGAGGGAACCCGTAGAGTCGGTCCAGGAGAAGTTGTAGACGAGTGGCAGGCACAGTTGAAGTTGTAGACGTCTGGCAGGAGCAGTTGAAGTTGTAGATGGCTGGTAGAAGTCGTTGAAGTTGTAGACGGGCCGATGAAGTGCAGGAAGGGGGGGGGGGGTTCTAGGTCGAATCTAAGGTCTAAGTGCCCTACTGTCTACACCTATTGAATAAGAACCCGTGCCTTTGGATATAACTCGGAGGTATGAAAGCCTGAACCTATGGAGAGAATATTTTTTAGAAGGGGGGTCGGTCAGTTCATTGCGGGATTTTCAGTGTGGGCCATTTTTGGAAGTGACATTTTGTCTGTGGGACGAATTGGGGAGTGACATTTTGTTTGGGACGAATTGGGGAGTGATGTTTTGTCTGTGGGACGAACTGGTGAGTGACATTTTGTCTTTGGGACGAATTGGGGAGTGACGTTTTGTCTGGGACGAATTGGGGAGTGACGTTTTGTCTGGGACGATTTGGGAAGTACATTTGGGTCAGACTTGGATGTGGGGAAGAAAGGTGGGTCTTATAAAATAGGTATGGACAGTAGAGCACCATGTTGGACCCGGGGGAGCAGTAGAGTACCGAGTCGGGGCCGAGGGAACCCGTAGAGTCGGTCCAGGAGAAGTTGTAGACGAGTGGCAGGCACAGTTGAAGTTGTAGACGTCTGGCAGGAGCAGTTGAAGTTGTAGATGGCTGGTAGAAGTCGTTGAAGTTGTAGACGGGCCGATGAAGTGCAGGAAGGGGGGGGGGGGGTTCTAGGTCTAATCTAAGGTCTAAGTGCCCTACTGTCTACACCTATTGAATAAGAACCCGTGCCTTTGGATATAACTGGCAGGTATGAAAGCCTGAACCTATGGAGAGTTTTGGCAATTCAGTTGAATTGCTTTCCAGGATAAATTCCTGATACTGATTTTGGGGTCATTCGAGAAAAACCCCGATGTTCAGAAGTGATAAACTGGAGGTCATTCTAGTTTGATTGTTTCGGAGGATAGACGAGGTTCTTAAGCTCTTTGAGCTTGGATTAGTCGTGAGTGAGGTATACCCGGGGATCAAGGAGGGGGACCCCAACCCAAAGAAATTTTTAACCACAAAAAAAAACGAAAATGAAAAAATATACCACTTGTAAAGAAAAGGCTAAAACCTTTTTTTACAAGTGGCAATAATTTGTACTTTTCCGTTCTTCACTAACTTAAAATTTTCGTGATTTCATAATTCTTGCAAAGCTTGGTCTTTTTAATTTTTGCAATGATTAAAACTTTAAACCGAAATGAAATTTGACGTGTAAACGGAAAAGCACCCAAAAAACAAATACATGTATGTATGCTATTAAAAAAATTAAAGACCTTTAAATGTGGCGGAAGCATCTTTGCCACATTTTTAGCTTCTCTCATCTTTGTAATTCATCACCAATCTGTTCAAGTCCAATGCTCATTAAAATCATCTACCAATTACTTTTCTTGGTGCAGCTGTTGATGTTTCAGAGCCATCTGCCACACTTGTACGAAGAGTGATTGTTATTGAGGCACACATCTACATCATCCTTTAAAATTAGAAATGAAAAATTGAGAGGAATTAAATAATATGAGGCGTAAATTTAGTCCCAATGAAGAAACGTTTTTTGCGGGAAAAAAAATCCGAAAGTGTTATTTGCCAACAATAAGGGATTTTGTTCCAGCAGAATCTTCGTTGTAAAAACTTTTCCCCATCGACGGAACACTTTGCCCGTCTTTGGAACAACATCCCCCGGTGTCAAAAAAAGACTCGTACCTACCTTGACTAGTAGGTACGAGTCAAACAAAATCAGAAAAACAATTATGAATCATAATCACTTTTCCTCCTTGAATGTTTAACAGACCAAAGATTAAAATTAACAAACCTTTCCTCCCGAAGCACAAAGCGAACCATAAGGCGAAACAGTAACAGGATTGATATAACCTCCATGCCCAATATGGTTCGTCTTCAACTGGCATGTTCCCAAATTCCAAACTTTAACAATTCTGTCCCATCCAGCTGACACAATGACAGGATTTGTATTGGACGGAGAGAGACGAACAGTAGAAACCCAATCTGTATGGCACTCATTCCTAAAAATTTTTTTGAAATTTTTTAAGAAAACGCAAAAAATACCACAATCATGTGTTTACACTGTACAAGAGTATTCTACAATTTAATCTTTTTATCACGCGATCCAGAAACTATTTGACGATTATCAGCAGAAAAGGCAACGGAAAGAACATCCTTTGTGTGAGAAACAAATTGACGAGTTGTCCGGCCACTGAAAACAATGATTTTATTTAGGTGATTTTGTTTTTAATTCAGTGGATGCTAACAAAAGCAAAGAAAACACCTTAAATTTTTATTTTTCCTAAAGCTCCTCATGGTGTTTACAGTTTGTCATACTCAAGATCCAATGGATCAAAAGCAAGAATCAAGTAGGTAAAGAATTATGGAAAATCTCAATCAAATGGAGTGCGCACTTTCGAGATGCGGACCAATTTTGCGGGACAATGGGAGCTGCTGGGAATTAGCCATGGAAACTATCGAATAACTCTATGGGGATACCTTCCCGCGTTCCCAGGGAAATTCCTTTACATGAGGTCGAGGGTTAAGCCCCACTAGCAGTTTAAGTTTCGCTAATGGACAAAATTGCAAAAATAAAAGCTTATACAAACGTGTTGAGGTCCCAAAGACGCAGTTTTGTCCCACGAGCCAGAAAGTGCATATTGCCCATCAGAAGACATTACAACATCAGAAACAAAATGTTCATGCCCATGAAGTGACTTTGACGGCTTGCCTGTTAAAACATATCCAGACTCATCCAACTGCCACAAAATAATTGTTTTGTCTAAAATTTAGAGAATTAATTTCACAAAAACAATTTGGTACTTATTTAGTTTCCCACCCCCAGTCAGTTTTTTCGAAAATTATGTAAAAATGGTCAGTCTGAACAACAATTGTAGAACCCATCGAGATGTGTCGAATGACACCAAAATCCGACTTGATTTGACCGAAATACAAACTTCTAAACTACAGGGGCACAAAATCATAAAGACGAAAATTTATACAAATGATAGCTCATTTGAAAGAGCTCGTCGAGCTGAGTCGAATGAGACCAAAATCAACGAAATCCGACTTGATTTGACAAAGATATGACATAAATCGTCGACTCCGGTAGGTCTAAATAATGTCATAACTTTGTCAAATCTTGTCCGATTTTGTTGATTTTGGTGTGATTCGACACAGCTCGATGGGTTCTACAATTGTTTTTCAGACTGACCATTTTTACATAATTTTCGGAAAAACTGACTGGGGGTGGGAAACTAAATAAGTACCAACAATTTATTGAAAGAAACCTCTAGAAGAAGAAAATAAAAAATTTTTGTACAATGGACTAGCCGCAATTTGTGTGACCCAACCATTGTGTCCACGCAATTGTCCTTCTAATTTCATTTGTTCTCCCATGATTACAATTAATTTTAATTTTTTATAAACCTAACAAACCTAAACAAGAAAAAAAACACAATTTATGAAAAAAATTTGTCAAAAATCCCCTCGTAAAGAAAATCCTTTCCTTTTCTAAAAGAATTTTTGAGCAGTCTATAATCAACAGGACAGTCTAGCTAACGTAAATTCAAGGATTTTTAGAACGCCTATATTTCCGGAAAAGCTCAATAAATTCCGAAAAATTATATCGATACCGACAGCGTTAGCTTTAATTATTTTTCAAACGTTTTTAAAATGATACGTAGGAAAAAATTTAAGAAGATTAAGAGCAAAAAATTATTAAACATAACAACAAAAAAATGCAAACACCGGAAGCTAATGGAAATCGATAAGTGACGCCAAATGAATTTGAACTAAATATTAACGCAAATTAGTTTTGTTAATTTAATTTTGGAAAATGTCAAAGTGTCAAGTCGTTGTTATTCTGTCAATTACTCGAAAAAAATGAAGAAAAGATTTTCAAAGCCTAAAGAATTTAAAAATTTTGTTTAGGTAGACTTCCAGAAGATAACGATCGAGAATGTGGTGATATAGAGGACACATTTTAAGTCTGACCATTTTCAATATTTTGAGGAAAGAAAAAAGGGAAATGAAAGTAGAAAATGAGAGAAAGTAGATACTTGACATACAAATTGACGGAAATAGGGGTGCGTATAATCTGTTAACAGTGTACTATTCGACCCAGGATTCGCTAATACTGATGAATAAATTATAAATACATAATCTCATTAATCTACATGTTATTTATATAAATTTTTACAATATGACAATTTATAAATATTAAACATCATATGTAGTTTGGTATCTCCTGCCCAGTCAGCAAACGAAACATCGATGTTGGCATTGTTCTGAATTAGATTTACTTTTAGAATATAAGCATAAACCCACTTCATATGGATCTCGCCAGTAGCTGTAGCCAGCATGTTGACAATTCGCTCATGTGTGACAGCCACAACGCTAGTTTGATTTATTTCAATAATACGATGACCTGAAATAAATTGTATATTGATCAAATACCTATTAATTTAATCTATCATTAGAACTGACCCACACGTATGCCACCTCGTTCAGCGATACCGCCACGAAGAAGCGAACAAATCTAGAAATTTAACATAAATTCCTTTCGAACACAATATACCTAAAAACTAACTATTCCGTTTTGAACGCTAAATCCAAGTTGATATTTTGTATCTGGTCGTCTTATTCGTACTTCTACTACAGGTGGAGTCGAAACAATTGTCAGTCGAACAGCTGTAGATGAACGAGCATTCTATATTTGCGTTATTTGAAAATGTATATTTCCTAACTCACCTTTATGTTTTGTTGTGCAGCACTTAGCGGCAATCCAACAAGTGAGATACCATTGACTCCAATCACCTTAAAATAAAGTATAAAAATGGTTCAACAATTTTAATTTTTTCGTTCTCTAATATATATACCGAATAATATCAGGTAGGTGTTTAAAACGATTTTTAAATCACCTGATCGCCAATATTTAACTGATTAGATCGCGCAGCAGGTCCACCTGGCGCCATATTAGCAATCACCTTAAATAATTATAGAAATTACAAAAATAGGTTACTATGATTCAACTGATCACGGCTCTCTTATTTGTAATTTTTTCAATTTTTATCCTACCGATGTTGGAAGCATTGAGCCCCATCCTGATTCAACAATTACTATTCCAATAGGTTCACCTGCGCGCTTTGATATAACTACATCCTAGAGAATAAAATATACCTATATTTCGAATTATATGTATGATTGAGCATACATCGCAATAATCAATTACCTTTTGCGTCTCCTTACGCGCCAGCAGCTCCAGTTCTTCAGCCATCATCTCTTGAGAATTCAACACTTCTTGATAATCAATATCCCGTAAGTAATTTGGATCATCAATTCCATTTGCTCGCAGAAATTCCGTGTATGCAACTTGAAAGGCCTGCCCAATAGATTGGGCAATAAAATTAGCCTCTTCTGATTCAAATACGTGACAGACCACGCGAGGTGCTTTTCTTATAATTTCGGTACTGCAATTTTAAATTTTTTACATAGTAGCACAACAAACTAACTTCTCACTCTGTTCCTGTTGACAAGGCATTCGCCGGGCCATAAGCACAACCAAGTCTCCTATATCGGAATAAAAATTTGACTAGAATATTTAATATCCGATAAAGAAAGACAAAACTGATAAAGAAACGAACCTATATCTGCTATGTAGGAAATGGAACGCAATGAGTGATCCATAAGTATGTCCTGAAGAATAAAATAAAAAAGATTCAGTTTGAAGGATGGTTTTTAAGACAAACAAATAAAATAAACAAGGTAATTAACATTATAATTTCAACCACTAAAATGGGAAAGGCACAATCCAACAAATTACAATAACATATAAGCAAAAAATGCAAACCTGACGCACATCTGTTTCTGATATTCTCTGAAAAGGAATAAATATAAGCAGTAGACATAACTTTATGACAGCGTAGCCGGGCAAAAAATATAAATTGACACCAATGATATAAAATCATATTATTAAGCTACATAATATGAGCATTCATTTAGTTCTGATACTTAGGAAATAAGGAAAACAACAGCGAAATTATAGATGCGATTTAACAAAATAGGGGAACATTTGAAATGTGTTAAGGAAAACAATTTAGATGATACAGGGCGGAATTTATTTGGCAAAACTACAAGCATTGCAAATTGGAAAATTAACATAAAACAAACCTGAAGATCTGTGTTCAAAACCATTATCTGTAAGAAACATACTTATTCAAAATTATGCATAGAAAGCTAAAAACCTTTTCAGTTGAGATAAACAAGTCTATTTCAGTGCTTGGTTGAGGTTCTCCTTCAGGTGCCTAAAATATTTAAATTTGAAATTTAAAAGTTTATCTACCTTCACTCGAGTAACCGCCTCCTGGGCCTGCGCCATTCTCGAACTTTTTGTGGTCCGTCCGTCAGAACTCATTTGAGTTGAACCAAGATATCGTGCTCGGAAAAGAACGCCCTCTTCGTTTTAACGTTAACAATTTTTACTAAAATCAAACATACCTATAAGCACCGCAGGTTCATGAATAATTACTATAAAATATAAGATCTTGAGTTGATCTACATTGGCCTTAATGTTCAAGGGCAAAATGCCCTAGACCTACTAGAAATAGGTTCCAATTCATGAATCAATTAATAAACTCAGGAGGGAAATTAGGTTAAGTATGTTATACCTTCTTTTTTGCTGCCCTTCCGACTTGCTAATCCATTAGAATTATCGGTTGCTTCTTCAATTGGGCCACTGGTTCCAACATCATGTTTATTTTTGCATTCTTGGGTTGATTCCGTAGCTAAAAGCCTATCAGTTTCATCGTCATCATATTGTACGCTTTTTACTGCATCTTCAGTTTCTGTTAAACAAATCGGCACCGGTTGTTCAGAAAAATCTGGTTCAAGCCGCTTTTGTTCATCACGTTCGCGCCTTTTCAGATAGGACTCCCTGAAGCAGTGGAAATATTATCAGTCTATTCTCTCAAAATTTTAAATTAATAGTACTTCCATTACTATTTTTAAATAGTATACGTACAGAAAAAATAATTCAAACGAACCTCATAACCCATATTGATTGCTCAGCAGGTAGAATATTGTCATTTATGCCAGCCGACTCTCCAATAGTAGACTCTGTAGCGTTAGTAGAATTCCGACGCCCGGTTAATCCTGTTAATTCTTGGTCACAACTATTTTTTTCGGTTTCCAATTGAACAATTTGATTCGAAGCAGAACAAGACTGTTGCTGTAATATGTCTGAATCAAAATTTGATGCCTGTGGCAGTAATTGAGGGAACACTATTTCTGTTGGTCCTATTGGTTGTTGGTTTAATTGTGATTCAGGTTGTTGATGTTGACAATATTGCGATGGATAAGCATTAGCTTCCAATGTTGTTGGTTGAGGATTTTGCTGTTGGTGTTGATAAAACATTTCTAACAAAAAGACAAAACCAATAAGGAGTCGAAACCAATAAATCGGCACCAATAATAACAATAAGATCGAAACCTACTCAGCTACAGTTCAACTTTCCTATTCGTTAAATGGCCTAAGTAGCTGAAACGGTACAACTTGCCTATTATTAACGTGCCTACTCGTTTTGCTACCCACAGGAATTTCTGAGGACTCTATTGTTCTTTTTTCGATAATTTACGCGACTGCCGTGCGGCGTGTTTGCAGAAAGATATTTTTTAGACAGTGGAGCTTTTCAGTTGGAGAGAATAAAATTGAAAGACACGTAGACGGCATGATAAATGAAAAGGAGATTAAGGATATAAGAGAAAATATCTTACGATGTTAAATTTCATACATAAAAATTAAAAAATCGAAGCTACATACTTCATAAAATTAATTTAAATACACTAATATTATATGAAAATTATAAAAGAAATTTAACTAGTATGGTCGTAGCTGTTCGTCTATCCATTGAATATCCGCCTTGTCCGTCCCGCTTTGTTCAATTAACTGTTCAGAGCAAGAGCCACCCTCAAGCCTTTTCATTGCTATCTCCAAAATACCATGATAGTGAACAGCAGCAGCCAATATCACAAAGATATGAAAGAGCTGGTGAGAATGACACTAAATTTTTTCAGATATATTAGTATTTGGCTAAGAATCAAAAACCATAATGTCACATTTTCCTGGACAACAACGCTCCGGAAATCGAACCTATAGTAAGATTAAGAATAACTTATTCGATAAAAAACGAACCATGTAAACTGCGGCACCAGTTATATACAGAAAACCCATTAACAAAAGCCAGTGAAAGGAAGCATAATCAAACATCCACTTAAAACCGTCCGTTAATGCCAAATGCAACGCTGGTACAATGCCTAACAAGTAAAAATTATCTTAAACTGAGGAAAATCGAAAATCTATACAGTCCATAATCAGGAATTTTTAAGAACATAAGAATTTTGTGAAAATAAAAAATTGAAATCAGCTTACTGCTTAGTCCCATGGCTAAGAAAACGCCTCCACGAAGTGGTCTAAATTTTGGTTGTGCAAATTTGTCCCAAAGAGAAACAACGACTGCAGCTATCCCCAATACAACAATCATACCAATGTAGAAAGACATAGCGAATGCTCGACAATAGAAAGCGTAATAGATCCATGGTACGAATGAACCTAAAATTGCTCGTTTTAATAAATAATCAAAGAATTCTAATACTAGCAAATGTTAACGAACCTATAATCAGTAAAGATATACCAGAATAATCAAGCCTTAAATTTTTAAATCAGTTGCGAAAATTTTTTAAAGATTGCTCGTTCGTATCAAAGTTGTTCCAGGTTGACCGCACATCCTAAAACGTCTATCGGGTACCCCGGAACAACTCTGATTTTTAACAGATAAAAACCAACTTGCTAAAAAGTCTCCCAACGTTTTCAGAGTGACATTGAAGAGTGTGAAATGAAAAGGAAAGGCCCATACATAAGATTGCACCGACAAAAAATGCAGAAAAAATGAGCTTATCTGGCCAGGCCATAACGTTCGCTGGCCTACTCAAAAGCCAAACAAACGCACCAGTGAAAGCAACACAGCCTAATAAGTTATATTTAAGATTAATATGATTAATATTTCGGGATCTTAATATAAAATCCGTCTTTTTGACTATTCTACACAGATGAAATAGAATAATTCCAAGCAAATGTTAACTCACCATAAATATGCGTCCAAATATTTCCAGTCTCAGTGTGAAGCGAAAAAATGCTTTTGAAACAAGAACTAAATGTACCCAATTCCGGCCTTAAAAATAAAGAAAATAAAAAATATTAAAAAAAAACATACCGATGCCCAGTGTGGAGAAATTCATTGTCTAAAAATTAACTAACAATATTTCCCCCAATAAATTAACCTTGTAACCAAGCCGGAAGCCCGGTGAAGTGTACTCCTTTCCAATTCACTTGCCAAAATCTTTTGTGTCTTTTGTGCACATTAGTGTTACCCTCTTCTCCTTCAGAGTGCTCAATTCCCTCGAATTGCATCATTTCTTCTTCATTAATCGGAACCTTTAATTTAATGGGTTAAAAATATAGTTAAATAACAACCAAAAAACCTAAAATATAATACCTCAAAATCTTTGTCGTCTTCCATAACTTCAATAGCATCAAAATCCGGAGGATTTTGGCAGCCACTTCTCTGATTAGACGCGGGCACTTGGACATGTCTATGCGTTTTGTCTCCATTTTTATCTGACTGAAAATTGCCAGAGAACATTACACCGCCAATCACGTCTTTAAAATAAAAAAACTCACCACTTGCGTTTTATCGTTTTCTTGGTTTCGAGTGTATCGCTGTGATTGTTTTCCGTTATATTGCGACGGCATTGACTGCGCTCGTCGATGGCCCTTTCTGAATGAACGCATTGATTTTTCACTCTTTTTATCATCATTAATTCCCGATGCCTGAGCCATCTGTGAATTTTAAGAATAAATAACAAAAAAATTTAAAAAAGATTCTGGTAAAGATAACCGGGATACATATATCGTAAAAAATTAACAACATAATTTAAACAAAAGCAAGTTTGAGAAAATAACAAAATTTCAGAAAAAAAAAGTCAGATTGAAATTTGAGACACATTTCAATAAATCAGAAAACCTATTCAAATTTGCATCGATAATACATAACAAATAAGTTTCATTGTATTTATAAACCACTATTTCGGTATTCTTCTAATCTCGTTTGATAACCAAATTATAACACTATAAAGAACCAGGGCACCGTTCTGATGAATCGACGCAATTGAAATTGGCACCTCATAGATCTATTAAGTGAAAAGATTTATAAAGGCAATATGTATAAACTAACTAGAGTTCCAATTCCAAGCGCAGCTTGCGTGAAACACGCAGCCAAGAGAGTGTGCAATGCAAATTTAGCACGATTTGACAACTTAAATGTTATAAAATTTTAATAGAACTTAATTGTATTTGTTTAATGCCAATATATTATTAAATCTTATATTTCCTTTCGATTAAATTACAGCTGAACTGACTATACATTTTATGTAAATTATACCTTCATATTGCGTCCCTTAAACCAAGTAAGTGAAACTACGATGAGAGTCAAATAAGCCTGAAAATAATTGACAAGATCAAAAACCAATATTGTAAAAATTTAACCAAATTTCGATGAAGAAATTGCACAGAGACCGGGTTCGAAAAGAATTCATCAATACCAAATATATCTCTAGCCATAAGTTCATGTGGGATCCATTTTCCAGAGTATGTTGGCCAAGAATTATAGACTAATCCTGCATCTAAACCAGCAACAAATGCTCCTATTAGAAATTTTATAAGAATTGTTACTCTGCTCCAACTTATTTACCGAGCAGAATTGTTGAGAATATAGCCAATTTACTTCCATGCACCTCAGTTAGAATAATTTTTTAATTAGAAAAAATGTTACCATTCCACGTAAACGACGAATTGATGCTACTTTTGAATGCTAAAATAACTTATTACAAATCTTTAAAAAAAGGAACATCGAATGGAGAAAATAAACAAGAAAGACCATTCCAGAGAAGAACGCCATAAAGTATGAAAGCAAGGCCTAGGTGGACCACAAGTCTAAATTATGATGAAAACTATCGAATAAAAATAAAAAACCTATATTGAGATACTCTTGGCACAAAAGAATCATCTTTTACAGCCGTAGTTTGCTTAAGACCTGATTTAACCATCCACCAACCAATAACGCCCTAAACATTTTAAAATATGAAAATTAAAAATGCTCAACAAATTCAAAATAAACCTGCGCGAGAATTAACGACCCGGCAAATAACATTCTCCGCTTTATTCCATTAGAGAAATATCCTCGAAGCCAAAAATAAGTACAAGGAACAATAAAGATTAAACCAACAGCTCTTCCCCACCTGCAAATATTTATATCTATATACAATGAAAAATGCCCGACATTTAGACAAAAATTAAGATCTAACCCACATTCTGTGTACGTATTCCATGGTCCAAATGAATTTAAATTGCTCCAATGTTATTTCTTTTTGAGTGGTCGACTTACTAAAAACAAAACTGAACAAAAATTTAGAAAAACTCACTGTTTATATTCAGGATATTTTTTATAATTTTCAAACTCGATTTCCCATTCATTTTGATTGAAAGGTGGCTTCATAGTTTTGATCAAATCCCATTTCACCATAGAAAGACCGCTTTCTGTAAGCCTGATAATTAATTTTTCACAGAATCAGTATGTATGAAAACGTCAACCTTGTTAAACCTCCAACAGCTATTGTACCTAGATATATTTTAATTTGTTCATTTTCTTTCAAAGGTTACCATAGACCACTCCAGTACAACCAAGTAGCCACAAACCAACAACTTTATTCGTGGATAATGTAGTCGTCGTCAAACGTACAAACGCCCTACTCGAACAAAAACGACTAAAACGCAAAATAATTTTAAAACAATCATAACATACCTAATTGTGCTTCTACTTTTTGCATAAATTAATTCGAGTAAAACCATCTGATCAGTTCGAACAAACAAGTTAATAAATTATAAATAAGCAATAGATAACAATTCTAATGTTTTCTGACGAGAGTCTGATGATATTTTTATAATGCTTTTATTTGAGCCAATACATACATGTGAATATATGTAGAAAGATACCAAAAACGAACCCGAAAGAATGGCAGAAAATAGGAAGATGATATAAGGATAGGGTTTAAAATCATAGATGTTTGAAAAATGTATCAGAGAAAACAACGAAAATGAAAGGTATAAAAATATAAATATGTATTACTATTGTACACATGTGTATTATGATCATTTCTGCAAATGACTCTTTGCCCCATGAAAGAACTGCATCAATGAATAAGCATCTGAAGGGTTATTAAATTTATTAGAACAATCGAAGGATTGAAAATTACCTGCTGTTAATTCACAGATCTGTTGGTCATTCCAATTTTGAGTGGGAAGACTTTGCAATTTAAGCATTATGCCCTGAAACAATTATTAATTTTAGTTTATTCAACGACTTATCATTCAAGAGAAATTAAATGAGAAAAATGATACAAAAATATAAATTTATAAATAACCTGAAAATCCTTTTCGTTCTGTAACTGCTTAGACCAAAGTCGCAAGAATGCCCCACAAACATACGTATGAAACTCCGAAAACCCATCTTTTTCGCTCTAAAAATAAATGTTTATCGAAAAAAACCATTCAAAAACCAGATATGTGTCCCAAAGTCGAATAGTGGTACGTAAGGGAATTTCGCGCATCAGTAAATTATTCATCCATCGAAATGAGAACTGCAGAAATTCAACACCGTTCGATTCGAAATGGGTGTATAAATTTCCTATTAATTATTAAACAAATATTTTTAATTCAAAAAAGATTGTATACGTTCAACACGACTAATAAGCTCACGGAGATCATTCACTTTGCGTTGAATTCCAGGTTGAGCAAATGTGTAATTATCTTGTATTGTGTCAAGAAGCGCAGAAACGCACCAAAATGAGTCGGCCTCCACAATTTCCACTTGCTCACGGTTTAGAAGAGATAAGTCAAAACTTCCAAGGTCTGTGTCTATTTTAATATAAATTCGAATTAAAGAAAAATAAGAACCATCAGGAATAAATTCAGAAAGGAACACAATGAAGAAGGGCGTGACCAAATCATTAATTCCTTGAACATAGCCACTAGCTGGATGCCTAATTGCCCAAATGTAGAGTACACGTTCAAACATCTTAATAATATTGAAATAAAAATTGCATTAAAGTACAGAATTCGATTTAGCTAGGCTATTAAAACATCCGGGAACCTTAAAATTAGATCTGTGGTTACACATTAACTAAAATAACCTTAAAGAGTGAATATTCTTAATTTTAATAATAAACAAAACCTCCTGCACTTTCTTTTGTTGAAATAATGGAATCAGAGGACACATTCTGGGAATATCGATATGAATCTAAGAATTTTGAAAATTTAAGCTTCAAGTTTAACAAAAAACCTGACGAAATGTGATTTGATGCTGCTCGTCGTAACGAGTGTGAAAATACTGCTCTACATAATCCCAATATTCATCTCGTTTCCGTTTTAATGTCACCTCACGACGATCCAAATTTGTCGGAAGATAGCCCTAGGTAAAATTGAAAAGATTATAAAAAATAGAAAATCTACATAAAAGCAAATTTATAAATCTATAAACTACCGAAAGGATGCGCCATGCAAGCGGACGAATCCGCTGGGGGATTCCAAGCCAGCATTCCTTACGTAACTCGTTTAAGTCGACAATTGTACCCGGTGCTGGTTGCTGGTAATGATGGTTGCTATTGTCTAGCAGAATGCCCAATATTCGCCGTAGTCTATCAAATCGCGAGACATCGCCACTAGAATCTACAATAAATTGTTATTTCAATACTGAATTGTCTTTGAAAGTTATTTTTAACCTTTAGTTTTTTGCTGGCTTGTTACACAACTTAGTGACGGTATCGATTGCGAACCCGTGGTAATTGAAGAACTAATCGGCCTAGTCGTGAGTGAAACCTCAGGTAGCCTTGGATAAATATTTTGACGACCAATGGGAAGTGCAGTTGCTGATCCAGGTATTGGTTCTAGAGAAATGTAATTTGATAATTTCTTTTGAAATTTACATTTACCTCTCTGAGTTGCAAGCATTTGCATAGCTTGAGTTTTATGGTGCTTTGAAGGTGCAGAATAGCAATTAGGCATTAGGTAATCCTCCCTGAATACATCAGAAGACGGAATTTGTTGCTCAGCAGCATGCCGCTCAAGCACACAAGCTATTATTTCATTCGGAATAAGAATTAATCAAAAACCTGCAGTCGACAAAATGAGAGTGTCATCCATAGAAACAGCTGTATCCCATGCATCAGAAACACTTAAAATTTATAAGTAAATAGGAAAAAATTGTAAGAAAAAACCTTTCTTCGTAATTCCTGAACTTTAACTCCGTCTTGGATGGAGAGTTGCTTATTTCCGAATTATGCTTCAAAGGAGGATATTGAGCACCATATATAGGCTTCACACTACAACAGAAAATGTTAGTTTATTTTGAGTGAAAACCCTTACCTTCCTGGCAAAGGTACGTTCTGTGCCCAATTGCGATGCATTAATAGGAATTTTAATGAAGTTCAAACAGCAAGAAAAAATAAATTCCTTGAAGCGAGATAAAAATAAGTGTCAATCTACACGTAACCTTTACCAACACGGTAATAAAGGCATTACGACGTTTGATCAGTAAAGCAACATGACATCAAGAGAACTTAACAGACGATTGGACAGTAGACAATTAGCCAGCGTAGTCTGGTTAAGTGGCAAAGCTTACCAATATATTTCAGATGGGTTCAGATCCTCAGAGGAAATCTATATTTATTATTCAGCTATTCTATTAAAAGGAATCAGAAAATCTTTCGAATTTATTTTTTAAATTTCTCTCGATATTCAATGTCTAGATATATAGAAAAAAGATCTTTTAACAAATCTTTAAAAAATCAGTTTTACAATTGACAATATTTATGCATAAAAGAAAATACTAATGAACATTAACTCATTCATAGAAGTGGAATTCTAACAACCTCAGTCGCCTGTATTTTTGCCGTTATTGCCTGAAAAAAACAATTATTTTAAATGCCAAAATAAAGGTAATTTGTCAAGGATGTCAAAAACTTGCCGCCATTGCCATAGCTGTTGCTGCAGGTAGAACGCCAGATGGGTTTGGTGTTGCACTCAAATAGCTAAGTGCATCAGGTGGAGTAATAGCACGACATATGATTAAGCACTGACCACCAAAATTGAAGCTGGAAATTCAGCAATTACATATAGTAAAAAACGTGACAAATAACCCACCCATTCATTCCTTCTACTGCTTCTTTTGCTGCTTGTTGAGTTGAGAACTCGATGTACCCGAAGCTCCTAAAAGTATTTATATTTTATTTAAACGTGATTTTATATTTTAACATATTTATATTTTATTTAAACGTGATTTCATCTTAAACAATGTAAAATCTACCATGTGAAATTGAAAAATGAACCTGTGTCGTCCAGATGCGTCCTTAGCCAACATACATTTCTGAATTTCACCAAATGCCTCAAAAACACTGCGCAAATCCTCTTCTAGCAACTCTGGATGAACGGAGGACACATATACGCGATTAAATTTGCGAGCCTCACTGACGATCATATCTAAAAAATATTCAGAATTTATTTTAACAAATCGAGAACCAATAATGGATTGCGCTTGAGGCATATTTGTTGGTCTCGTAACCTAAAAATAATTTAACCACAAAATTATTGATGGATTAAAATTATACTGGTGAAACTTTAATGCTTCTTCCTCCCATCATTTTTCCATTCATTTGCTCTTGCGCAAGTTGGGCAGCCTCCGGCACCTCATATTCGACAAAAGCAAAACCTTTGTGACTCTAAAATTTAACGATAAAAAGTAAAATAATTTGCAAACTACCCCGGTTGCTGGATCTCTACACATGTTCACAATCTGTTTTAAATTGAAAAATGTGGACAATGCATAAATCTCAAACACTACCTTTATTGGACCAAACGGAGAAAAATTCATGCGGAGATGATCCTCACCTATATCAAAATTGATTGACCCAATGTAAATGCGAGACATCTTAAAATAAGTATTTCTCTGGGATAAATTAATTTGCTTACAATCGAAAGTGCCTGAGTATACAAGGAGATTTTTTGTTGCTGAAAATTAAATAATTAAATTTTTGAAAAATATGTATTAAAAAAAATGTTAAATCTATGTTGAAATAAAGTAAACAACACATTTCTTTCGATTTCTTTCAGATTGAATGTTTGAGTGTATGAATCGGCCGAGCTGCTGCAGTTTTCTTTACTATTTGCGTTGTCAATTCTGAAGGGGGAGGGAGAGGGAAAAGGAAATCATGAAAACTAGCTTCGATATTTATTAAAATTTTGAAAGGTGAAACAATCGTCTTAATTGTCAAAAACTATATTTCCATGGTTTTAAAGTAAATCGAATAAAAAATCTAAATTCTTGTAATAGTTCAATGTTCAAAAAACATTTGTAATCAATAGAATACATATGGCCTCTACAAAAAGTATAGCCATTCTCCTAATTCGTGAGAATTATAACTTAAAAGAAAGAAAAACCCATATAAAATTTACTTGTTGTTGATGCGCTTCTCTTTGCTTTAGCATTACAAATTTTACAGACTGATCAAGAGCATATCGTTTTGCGCGTTCTATATCTTCCCTCTCAAATGTTCTCAACTTTCTAAGACCAAGCCCAATTAGTTGAGCTTCTCTGTGCTGGCCCGGCCCAACAAACACCTATCAAGAAAAATATAAAATTCAAACGCATGTTTAAAAAAGGGAAATTACCTTGCCAGTCTGTTGAAGCAGTGGCATGGCCACAAATTTACCAGTTACCGTTGCTTGTGATGATGACCCCGAGTATGGAGCAAATTCTTGTTTCATTTGGCCTAAAGTTGGTTGTTGTTCCTGTCTTATTCCATTTTGTTGAATCATATAATTAGCATAAACGTCCATGGCTAAAAGTAGAGCTAGGAATTTTGAAAAAACCGGGACCGGGTCCGGGAAACGGGTTCTGAAAAATGGACCGGGCGGGAACCGGGTCCGGGAAACCGGGAAAACCCGTTCCCGGTTTCAACCCGGTCAAAAATGACCGGGTCCCGGCCGGGAAACCGGGAAATTTTTAATTTGTTGAAATGGAGGTCTATTTTTCCACATAGGGCTGTATTTTTCATCTATCCTCCTATACTTATTCTAAATAACCTCTATTAATGTAATTGAATGCCATTCACGATTATTTAACTCAAGATCAAATTCCCTTTTCTGAAAAATACGTTCATCGACTGCTGCCTTTTGTTCTTTCGTACTTGGGATTAATGAAAAAATTCAAAGAAATATGTACTACATATGTTTAAATTCTTTCTAAAGCCCTTATATGTTGGCCGAGTGGTTGTTATGTGTTAGTTCCTTCAGAATCCTTAGATATCCCTTTTAATTCTTTTTAATCTTATTGAACTAAAAATTCTTTGCGCCATTTTTTGCGCCGTAGGCAAAAATTTTGAGAATTTTGATAGGCCTTAGCAGAAAAGAATTCAATTGTCAGAGCTGCCGGCGAAAAAATTTTTCGAAGTTTAGATGTAATGAAGCCAAACTCTTAAATTTTCTGCGCCACAGCGAAAATTTTGGAAAATTCATGATTTAATTGAAATTTCTAATATTTTTTCAAAATTAAAACAGTAAAAAAATTTTCAAATTTGAAATCAAAGTTTAAAATTATTTATTTTTGAAAAGAAAATTTCTCAGCCCCATTTCCATACATGGACTCGAACCCAATCCCTATCAAAATAACTAGATGAGTGAAGTCAGTCAACTTAACCACTCAACCATCGACCAACAAAAGCAAAATGGAGAAATTATAATTATTCCTTTCCCTTTTCCTTCAAAAATTTAATATCAAAGTACGCAAATACACTAAATATTTTTCCCGGTTTCCCGGTGAAAAAAAAGCCGGGACCGGGTCCGGGTAACGGGTTTTGAAAAATGGACCGGGCGGGAACCGGGTCCGGGAAACCGGGAAAACCCGTTCCCGGTTTCAACCCGGTTGCTTCAAAAAAACCGGGAAAAGGGACCCGGAAACCGGGAAACGGGTCCGGGTCCCGGACCCGTTCCTAGCTCTAGCTAAAAGTACTCAAAAAATGTAGGAATCAAAAAGTGTAAAAACAATAATCATGGGGGCATTTGAGTCAAGCCCATTATTAGACAATCTAAATAATATAGATAGCATAGCATAAAATTTATGGCAACATATTACAAAATACAATATAGAAAATGAAGCATTTGTAGATAAAAGCACCATATATGTATTTGGTATCGTTGGAAAATTCATTCGGAAAAAATAAAATAAGGTGGTCTGATAGGGGGGTTAAAATTTAGAAAAATATTTTGCGAATAGAGGATTTTCATATGTGCAAAAATTGTAACATTATAATAATCCTAGATAAATAATGTAAAAACATAAGACTGGAGAAACAGAACTGATAAATATTCAATTAAAGTTTTAGAAGTGTTCCACAAAAAAATTTTCCGTTGCTACCCCAACTCTTCCATTTTGTTGAGACATAGCTTGTTGTTGGAAAGTACCATTGATACCACAGAACCTGTTCAGCATAATTGAGTTCACATCGTCAGGAGTAGTAGGTGGAGGGCCAGTGGGTTGAGAAGTCCTATGTATTTGTCCTTGAAAAAATTGATGGGGTTGAAAGTATTGTGGTTGTCCGATAGATGTCAATGAAGGTGCTGGCGGTAACATAGCCCTAAAAATGTTTAATTTTGATTCTTTTTATTAAGAAAAGGAGTACTTTCTTCGATGCTCCGATCCACTTGACTCCTCGTTAGAGTTATTACTAGCTTGACTATTTGCACCAAATTGGTCAAAACGGGTTTGTGTATGTACTGGATTTTGTGGAACTAATTTATGTAGCTGTCTCTGCTGAGTTGAATATTCCAATGTTGTTTGCAAAGGAATCCCCGGTGGTGGATATGGTGATACAGAAGGCATTGCATACTCGCTACCCTAATGAAAAAATAATGAACAAAACTAAATTAATATAAAAAATTAACCCCAAAATTTGTATGCAGCATGTATGGTACTTGTGTTCCGCAATCGCGATCGTTTAAAAATCTCTGGTTGGCTAATACTCCTTGATTTTGAGGATTTCGAACCAGAACTGATCCATGTTCAATACCATTGCGAAGAAGTAACAAGTCTGAAAATGAATGGAAATGCGTAAACAATATATTGTTTACCTGAACAATTATCTCCGAAAACATAGTAACATTGCTCCGTGAATACCTAAATTTAAAGTACGTGAAATAAACTCGCGAAGCATTTTTCCCCAAAAAATTTATTCGAATAATATATATTTATAATTAACCTGCTTATTGACAACATGAGCAATAAACCGTTCTTTTAGTAGATCAGACGCATATTTTCGAGCTTCTTTCCGAGTTTTCAAGCCATCCACATTTTGAATCAACCAATCAACCAAAGAACTACCTTAAATAAAAAAGTTACTGAAAAATGTAATACTAAAATAATACCTAAAAAAGACATTGGGATTGGAATTTTTAGCCAAGTTCTATCACGAATTTCCAATCCGGAACCGATTGCAACCATTGCCCGAATGATCATTCGTTTGTCAGAGTTGACGTCTAGGTGAGGTTGAACCGCCAAAAATACACCACCCTGCCCAAGTACTATCTGAGGAGCCACACCACCTGAACCATTTGTTGAAGTAGCTGTTGTATTGCTACTACATGCCGATCGTTGTTGATGTTGAGCGATGGAAGTGGGAATGTTAAGCATATTTACCATTTGTTCATGCGGATGATACTGGTTGTGAGCAGGAATAGGCGTTGGCGCACCTTCAGAGCCTAAATAATATTATTTTAGAACTTTTAAAAATATGCAAATTAAATTTATAAACCTTCTGGGATAGAGTTCATCGCACTCACAATTGTACCAACAGCCATTCCCCGTACAGCATTGGTATGTTGCACCCAAGCGTGTGTATCAAAAATGATTAAAAAAATTGAACATTAATAATTTTTGGCTATTTTTAAAAAGGTAAAATGTAGGCGAAAACAATATTTTATAGTTTAATTAATTTAAATTTAAAAAATTTTTAAATACCAATTGGGCGCACTGGTTCACGAACTGGCACAGAAAAATAATTGGCTCGACCGGAATCAAAACTTTTTGCAACTGTCAATTTAATTGGCCTAAAAAAAATAAGAAATTATAACTCGACAAGTTATAATTGAGCAAAATTAATTGTTCAATTCTAAAAGTTACCCTTGTCTGTTGACTGCTTGCTTGAGAACTTCAACCGCTTTATCATTTTTAAAATTTTCAAAGGAAACATCGTTCACTTGTAAAATCATATCTCCAGGTTCAATGCGACCATCTAAAGCAACAGCACCACCTTTTATAACGTTAGCCTAAAGACAAAAAATGTAATTTCAATTAACTAAAATTGGACACAAGTTATGGACAATTCAAAGCCAATAATTAAATAAAATATTTTCGGTATATCAAAAAACAGACCACATAAATTCCGTTATCACCGCGTGACGAAGATTGACCCACAATGGAAATACCAAGAAAATTAACAGCAGAGTCCATATTAAGTGTAACCTATAAATGTTATAATTAATTGAATTTGAATTTTATATTGAATTTTATAAAATTATTACTGTGATAACTTCCAGTGCCATTGAGGTCTCAGTCATTGATGAAAGTGAAGATGCACGTGAGGGCTTACGCCTGTTTCGCGGGGCCTGGCGACGTCGACGCCGATATAAATTGTAGCGCTGCCTTGATACAGAAGTGATGTTGTCGGTTGATGTGGAAAGACTGAAATATTATTTCAATTTGATCAGAAAAATCTTAGAGTAAAATAAAACTTGAGGATTACCGTGACTCATCATCAGAATAAAGGCGGTGATCAGTCTCATTTGTATATAGAGTGGAATCGTCAAAAGGTTGTCTTGTGTGATTACCTATAAAAATTTTAAATTGGATAGTAGGACAGGATTGTAAAGCAAAGCATAAAATCATATGTATTCTGTTAGATACTAAAAAAAGAACAATTATTTAAAATACCTGATACATAGTTTGAATCACATCGTTTGCGTGGACGATAGTGCTGTGAACTCGTGAACGGATAAAGCGTGGTAGGGCCCAAAGGTACCTTAATTATAGTATGTAGTTGAAAATAAAATGATCGAGAACAAAGAATAACCTTCTTCATAGAGGCAAGTTTGGAAACGCCAGAAGAGTTGCCATCAGAATTTGAATTTTCCGCTGTTAAAAGAAAAAGTTCGAAATGGCCATTAGAAGATCGTGTAAGCTGTTGAGCATCATCACGTATTTCGGCTTTGACTTCGCTTAAAAATAAACGATAACTCAATGATATGTCAGAAACTCGAATGTAAAGTATATTAAAGTTAAGTAAGAATGCATTAAGATTAACATATTTACTTACCCTCCAACTTCTGAATCAATTGCTTTGCAATAGTATTTGAAATTAGTTCTGTTGAGAACCCTTTTAAAATCGCCTAAATTTTAAACATAACTCCTCTATTATTAATCGAATAAAAAACCTAACGTAACACGATTGTTAGGTACTGGCAATTCAGTGCAATAAGGTGTTTGTTCATCGTCTATGTGGTAATAAACCTGAAAATGTATTATATAAATAAAATATAAAAATAAATTTTAAATACCTTTGTAGCTCCTCTGCCTGCAGCTGAACTACAAATTGACATTGAAGAATGCGTTAAGTGAGAACTAGCGTCAGAAACTTTATCAATTTTTTCTGTTTGTGAATTCAAATCATTATTAGTATTCATTGCTTTATTGATATCCAATTGTACAGTTTCTTTTTCGAGCATACGCACTTCATTAGATTCATCATTCTCCAATTTTGTCGTTTCCATCATGACATGATCAAAAGAAGTCAAATATTCTGAAATTGAAAGTTATTCTGAAAATTGATTTCTCGTTTGAACGACAATTGGAGTGTGAGCAATTGTCAGAGTGGGGCCATAACGGCGCAAAGCCATAACTTGCTGGAAAATTTCTAGTCCCTATCAATTTTGATACCAATCTCTTTAGCCCGATGAGAGTAATCGTTTAATACTAAATTTGGCAAGATTCGGAGATCTTGAAGCAATTTATGGCTTTGCGCCGTTATGGCCGCGCGCCTACATGGCCTGTACCCGTCAGAGAGTACTGCGCCCAAAAATGTTCGGGTGGGACATTTTTGGGGTTTTAGTTTATTAGGACATTTTCGGCGTGGTACATTTCCGGGGCGCGCCGACAGAGTGCGCTATGCATAGTATTTTGAGCCTTTATTAGTCTTGATAAATTTCTTAAATCAATTTTTTTAGTTATGATGTCGTCGATGCCTAAGCTATCCAACGATATTTTACAAATTATATCTGAAAAGTTACTCTTTAAAAAGCCACCTGATGATAAAATGTTTAATCAAATGGATCTGCGATCATTGAATGCTTATACACTCTTCATGGTTTATTTAATTTTTATTTATTAATATTTTTATTTTATAGTATCACAGTGCAAAAAACATGCGATCTTTTCTCTCCAATTTTACTAAAATGAAACGTCTTGAACTTCTTAATAGTGGTGACAATTTTAGAATTAATTTGTACAAAGACGAAAGTTTACCATTTAATATGATTAATAATGTAAGTAAATATTTTTTTAAACCAATTTTGCCTTCTTATTGTCAGAATGATTTTACTGGACCATACTCCGTTTCTAAGCAATTATTAGGTGCGGACATAATTAGTGGCCGTTTTTTTAGATTAAATTTTTAGGGGTGTTATATTACATATATTCTTTCTACTTATTAATCAACATAAAGATCCGGATCTGCTCTTCATTTTAATACCAGGTTTAGCCATACAAGGATTAAATTCTTAGAGTTATGATTTTTTGAACTTCACTACCTCGTAGTGAAATTCACAAGCATTTACACCAAAAATTTTAAATTACCAAAAATGCAATAAAAGAATCAAATAAACTTAATGATCTAGTCATTGGGATCGTTGTCTATGCTAAACAGCAAAAAATAGGGTTCAGGCTTTATCTTTAAGGCCGTATCACTCTCAGAAGCAAACATGGTCGAGGGAGACGGCTGTTTTAAGAATAACGGTCCTGCTCGGCCGGCTTAGATGGAATCCGCTCATTTCTACTGCTGAATTATAGAAGGATATCTGCTCTATATGTATGTCCACGGGTGACTCAAAAAACGCGGGCTGCGCTTAAGGAAGGCAAATCAGATGCCGCGTGTACTCTCTTTTGCACAGATGGGAAAACGACACGACACTCCCCCAAAAAGTTGTTCCTTATAACTCAGCCTAAAATCATCCGATCAGGATGATCTAAACGATTTTTTAAATCTCATAGAGGGCTTATACTAAATCCGAAATATAAAGTCTGTAAATCGTGTCAAACCCGGAATTCGAATTTCGACTTTTTCGAAAAATTTAGACCTTTCGGATTAAAAATTCGACTTAGTGCCCTCCTGATAGAGATTTTGAAGAGCTTTCGAATGATATATTACACTAAATATTAGCATTACATATACTCGAAAAAATTTGATTTTCGATGATTTCGAAAATTTTGACATTTTCGATCATAACTCCCTGAATACCTAACCAAAAATTTCCAAATTCTGGGATCCTTTAGAAAATACACTGACAAATTATTCGGTATAAAAATAAAAAATATTTTTAAGGAAATTAATGCTAAAAAACCAAATTAAAAAACGGCCACTAATTATGTCCGCACCTAATAATTTTGGATCTTCTTTGTGCTGGATTACTACGTATTTCATTCATTAGAATAAGTCATGCTTTAGAGGAATTGCCAGATGAAATACTTAAACACTTGATAAATCCAAAAGGTATAAAATTTTTTTATTAAATTTAGGTGATCCTATAGTTTACTCGTCCCTAGAAAAAAAGTGTAGGGAGTCCTTTTTCGAAATTTTTGAGGTTTGCCAGTAGATAATCAAGTATGCCAAGTCAATACGAGCTTAGAATTTGTTTATTTCCAACCCCGGACCCGAATTCGACCAAGTCGAATACGGGGTAAAATTTAGAAATAGAAATTTAGGTCAAATCTGCTACGTCTCATCAAGCTGGTCGAAATAAACACATTATAAGCTCATATTCTGGCTCATTTTCAGCATACTCGATTACCAACTGTTAACCCTCAAAAATTGCAGAAAAAGCATTTTTTAAACGTTTTTTTCCAGGGCAGTAAACCACTAGAAGATCACCAAAATTTTATAAACTATTGCCGTTTTTATTCAGCTTTGGATACTAAATTATGTCCGTCAACTTCAAACTTAAACATCTCGAAAGTGGAAGTCGACGAGTCTGCAGCAACTTTTCGTTAGTTTTTTTTAAATTAGATTTTAATTTAAATATATTTTAACAGAAAAGCATCTCATTACTTTACTTTCCATTAATGCGGAGAATGTTGAATTTTGCAGTTTTTGGGAGAATCTTATTTTTGACTGCAGTTCATCCAAAGTGTAATATTTAATAATATTTATACTTTAACTTGCATGTATTCTTAGACCTCCAATTGTTATTGAGCGTACAAAGAAGATTTTAACTAAATGTAGTCTTGACATGGAAGCATCAAACAATTTTCGCGACAATTTCAAAAGTTATATACAATTTCTGCTTCTTTGCTGCTCAAATCTTGAATATCTGGAATTTGAATGTACTTCAAACTCTACTTCTCCTAACGACTACATTACAAATTTGGAAGCCCTTATAATTTCAACTATAGAAGATCTCAAACATCAGCATCGCGGTAGTAAAAATTTGAAGATTCGAATTGAATTCACTGCGAATTTTGAAGAGGTTTTATTCGAGGTTGCTTTAATTTGATTTAATAAGTTATATATCTTATATTTTTAAATTTTTAGTCGATTTCGACTGAACATAAAATTTTCACGTTGGGAAATTCATTTGTTATTGATGAACTATCTGATGATTCTCCATACTTTGCACGTAGTATAAAATTTAATGATTCAATTGGGAGACAGCATGAGTGTTTATTTCAAATTTTCTCTGAAAAGCCAGATCTTTCTGATTGTATGTTTTTTAAAATTGCACTTTCCAATTCCAAAAAATATTTTTTGACAGATTATATAACTAATTATGATTATGATGGAGACTATGATAACTATGGAGATTCTGATCATACTGAAGATTACGATGAATATGACTTCGATGAATATGAGTATTGAACATTAAATCTCATTAATTTATTCTGATGATTTTTCATTGTTTTTCAGTTTCTAGGTATAAATTATTTTATAATTTTCAGGTATATCAATTTTTTGTAAATTTCTCGGCTTCGTCTAAGAGCGCAATTTTCAATTCCTCTGCGTCGAGTTTTTCGATTGCGTCTGCATCAACCCTAACAGCTTGAGAACCACACGGTTCATTATTCGAGTCATGGTATCTAAAAACAATATTAATATAGTTGAGTTGCCTTACAAGCTCAAATAGGGATGTTCCAATGCCTCTTTTGCTGAATATCGTTTCCATGGTGCAATTTGCATCATCTTGCGTTGAATTTTATTTAAGGCTGATAATACGCATTTACCTTGTTGATCAAGTTTAGTCCTTTACTCGTTGCGTTAGGCAATATTGTACACCACGGTAAAGGTTCTCTTTGTCCACACTTATCGATCCAAATGCGCACCGAAAAATAAAAAAATACAGTGAAAAATTTCGCAAGGTACCAGCTCTGAGCTGATCTGTTGCATCACCTAAATTTAGATTGTGAGTGAAATAATTTAAATAGTTTTACCTCAGCTTCTGGAGTTCCAAGGTAAAAAACTATCATCTTAATTTAAATTTTTTATAATTCTCAAAGATGTTACTTTAATTTGTGTAGCAGCGTCCCTTCCAGGGAATAATTGTCTACGCTGTATCATCTCCGCAAAAATCGTTCCAACTGACCAAATATCTACCCTGTCAATTTTTTGATTAGATTTGACTTTCATGAGTAAATAACATTGTGCCGTAATCGATAAGTGAAAAGAGTAACTCTGGCGCGCGGTACCACCTTGTAGACACATATTGCTGTATCGAATGATTAACTCTTTATTTCTAAATAACAAACAGTCATAATTGTCCCCTCTTCACGAGCACATTGTTCCACGGAACGTGCTAATCCAAAATCAGCTCTAAAAAGAATAAACGTCTTAAACATGCAATAATAGGATCAATATACATTTTTAGTAGACAGTCTCCATTTATAAGTAAATTGCTCGGCTTAAGATCTCTATCGATAAAATATAATATTAGTGAAATATAATGATACCGATGAACAATGCCGACAGAGTGCATGTACTAACAATAGTTTTTATTAAATTAATAGGATGTGATAGTTAAGATACCTTTAACCCGCATAGTATTTGATAAAGAAAGTACTGATTGTGTTGGTCCGTGAGTTTCTGAGAAGAATGTATTATCTGATGTAGATCGGTTTCCTGAAAAGATTAAAAAAAAAAGAAAGTTTTTAGTTATTTGTTACCATCAAGTCCATCACTAGATAGATATCTTTGCCTTGAACATCATCTCCCACGGAAAAAAGGTTCAAGACCTTTATGATATTTCTATGCCTTATATCTCTAAGAATTCTAACTTCCCCTTAAAAAAGCTATTTTTCTTGTCAAAATAATAAAAATAACTCAAAGTGCGTTTCACCAATGTCAAAGCAGAGAATGCCTTAGTAATCTTCTTTATTGCTACTTTTGAGTTTGTCTCCTGTTAATTTGAAAAAAATTCAATTATTTTCTAAAACTCAACCATATCATGCGCCATCGCCACCGAGCCATACGCTCCTGAACCAATGTTTTTCCCCAAAACATATCTGAAAGAACAATGAAAGTTTAAAAGCGTCAAATTGCTCTGGACCTATCTTTTAGTTGAGAGCTCATCAATTTAGAACAACAAAAGAATCAGGTAGGTTTGTTCATTGGGACGAATCGGTGATTTTGTTCATTGGGACAAAGTGGGATTCCACTATTGTTTGAATCCGAGTCACTTCAGTTAATTGAGTCTGGACAGTTCTTAAATTTTTTAGTTACTACAAGATATAATCAAAAATGTCTTCAATTCCTGAAAAATTTCTTGGAAAATTTAAACATGAAAAAAGTGAAAACTTTGAGGAATATTTGGCTGCTCGTGGTTTGTAATAGTTTTCCCTTATTTACATATGAACAATCTATTTTAAGGTGTTTCTTGGATTTTTCGTAAATTAATTTCCTTCACCTCAATTACTAAAGTCTTTGAAAAATCGACTTCAGCTACAGGAAAATATGATGCACACAATATTAGTTCTAAGGGTGATACACCGTATATTGGCTGGGCGCTTGACGAAGAGTTTGAGGCTAAAGGATTGGATGGAAAACAACACAAGGTTACTAACTTTTCTTAAATTAAGATATATCATCTATTACTTAAGATCACATTTCAAATGGATGGGGAAGATACACTCACTGAAAAGCATATAAGATTGGATAAAGAAGGTAAAGCTGAACCTGAGGATGTTGGTGAAGTTTACCGCTACTCAATCGACGACAACGACAAATTGGTTTTGGTAATATTTTTATTTCTCAAATTTTTTTCTCAAGTCATACGATATTCCAAAGTTTTAATTTCTGTTACTATCTTAAAAATTAATATGGAGCTCTCACTTTTAGACACTTGAGAAGGATTCTATTACTGCCCGACGCTTTTTTACAAGAGTTCAATGAAGAAGATTTAATCATAGGCGAAAATAACTTTAATTATTAAATTTGTTTTAAAATGTTCTACTTTATCTTTTCTTCATTTTACTCTGCCTTGATTTTTTAACATGGACTTCCGCTTTTGCTTGAAATAAATTTTATTTTTCAAATTCATCTTAAATCTTAAACACGCGAGACGTGATTAACCCGTTAGACAATCAAATAGACTAGTAAAAGCGATATCCATTCCTGAGCTTTCAATTTTACTAGCCGTAAAATATTTTAACATTTCCTTCAATGTTTTGTTCCGGAGTCATTACAGCATTGATACCATTTATAGCTAAAGAGTAAGGTTGCTCCTCAAGCGTTGGTGATAATTTGGAGAAATGATCATGTATACCTTGGTTATGGTGGTCATACATTGGAAGGTGGAGACTAAAATGTTAAAATTTCAGTGCGTTCATTATCGGTAATTGTTTAAACACCTCTCATCCTCAGAAAGTCTTGTTATCATTGTAACAGCACCAGAGAGTCTGTGCTTGTCCAAGATTGTTTGTTTAGGTTTCGATTGCCTAAAAGGTTGCCTCAGCCGTGGTGTCCTTGTAGTAATCGTCTCGCCGGCAAGTCGACTGCCTGATTGATGTGGATGTCGGTGATGAACGCTCGTTCCTCGGTGGCCACTTTTCTGCCTTTTACGTTGTCTATGTGATTTTCGGCGTAGATCTTCCCTGGCATGATTTTTTCTCTTCAATTTTGATTTGAAGAGAATGCAGAAGAACGAGAAAATGAAGAGAAAAATTACACCAGATACTATATAGGCGACTACAATTGTTCGCATGTCTGTCAAATTGTCGATTCTGGAGCCTAAGTTACAGAATTTAAAAAATCTCAAACAAAGCAAGCCAATAAAGATCATTCATTTTTCACTTCAAAAATTCTGTAGTTTCTGAGTTAGTTGAACAGCAACTTTTCCGAAAATTTAGTTAACTTTCAAATAACACTTCAAACTTAGAAGAGGAAGTTGAATTTATTCATATACATTTTATATGTACAAATATTTGTAGCAATATCTGTTAAAATCTAATTTTGAGTATCATATATTGGCATAATATTGTAGGGATGAAAAGATGCATATCAACTGGAAAATTAGTGGCAGCACTTTGTCTCCAGCCTTCATAACCGCCGAAAGTACCGAAAACACAAAGTTAAAAGTATTAGTACGCTCACATCAAAATATTGTAATTTAAAAATAACTTACAATGTGCTTCATCACTATCATCATTCTCGCCACAATTATCTTCCCCATTGCAACGTAACTAAAAAGAATACATCGTCAGTTCGATTATACATTTATTTCATAAACCTGGGCATCAATGCATAAACGTGAATAAGAACATAAATAGAATTGTTCTCCTGTACATTCGCTATCACCTTAAAGATACTTTGTATTTAACTTTAAAATTTCTAATTTCCTTACTTTGAACGCGACGAACTTCTGTCCATGAAAAATTAAATCCTTGAAGGCCATTTACTTTGTCAGGGGAAGTTAGAAAACTAGTAAAAGTTTTTACAATAGAAAAAGATACTTTAATTATATCAACCTCATTCGTATAGAATTTGATGGCGAAACAATCTGAAAACAAAATTCACTAAGAATTCCAGATAATTTACCGGGGGAATCATTTGAATGTTCTCTCCACAAAGCTGCAAATCCCTGATAAGTAAAACAAATAATACAATATTTTTGAAAGAAATCTAACCTGCTGCGATTTTGCATATCCAGATGGACACGAAATACAGCACTTAAAAAATACAAATTACAAAATAAATATTTTGATAAAACCTCATACAGTCAATTTTCTCGTCTGTCATCTGTCCTTCAATATTGAAAGCATTAGGGCGAAGTAATACTTGATGGCCTGATCTGACTCGTATTTCCCAATCACATTGTTTATTTGTACCATATTTAACTGGATAGCCGGGAGATTCTGTTTTAAAATACTATATATAAATAGAAAAAATGTTAAAAATTAACCAAAATGTCCAGTAGTCAACTCTTCATTTGCTTGGATTAATTCACCACAATGGCGTTTATCCTTACGATGAGGGACCTCTTCTTCAAAAGCATCACGAATTTCATAATGTGCATCGAACCCATTGGCTGTTCCAAACCCATCAGAATGAAAAACAACACGCATTTCGTGTGCTCCAAAAGATGAAATTGTTGGTCCAGGGAATACATTCCAACAATGCTGTGCTTGAAGTCGAAGTGTTTCTGTACCATCTGATTCGTAAAACACATCAAAAATTTTCAGCCAGTCATTGCATCTGGAAGGGATAAAAATTTGGAGTATCCAAGTCAAAGTATTTTTACTCTTTGTCCTCAAATAAGGCGAATTGCTATAAAAGTAAAAAAATTTTAAATTATTTTTAACTAGAAATACCTTAAAATGCAGCAAAATTTGTTTGTCAGATATCCCTGCGATGTGTTGCTGAGTATTTGCCTGTTTTAAGTAAAAAAAGGATTAGAAGCAAAAATATTTTATAATTGAACAATTCATACATGAACTATGTGATAGGTGCATTCAGTATCTAACGGGTAGTTAGCCTTAAATAATTAGTTTTGGTGATTTTATTAAACAAAAAGTTACTGGATATCGTGGACTATTGAATGATCCAGTGGGATCGTGAAAGCGAAAAGCACATCGATTAGATCCACCAATACTTTCTCCAGCTATACCAAAATCTAAATGGTTTAGAGGTTTACTATTAAGTTATTTAAATGATAAAATCAATTAAGGAATTTTATTCACTGACTTACCAGTTTTAAATTCCACTCGAGCTCTGAAAATGAGGAAAATTTTTAATTTCAGAAACAATATACCTAAATCCACGTGGATCCGTTGATGATTTATTTGAAGTATCGTGAGATTGTTCCATTGAGCTAAAAACTAAAACAATGCGTGGTCCTTGACTAACGAAAGATGGGTTGTTTCCCTAAAGAAAAATAATTTATATTTTTATACATAATCAAAAACAAACCTGCGAAAGTGTATCACATAGAATAGCATCGTATGAACTTTCTTCACTGTTGGTTAATGCTGACTTGATCTTAATAATCAAATTAATAATTTATTTTTGTTTCAATTATTAACTGATGATGCAGTTGTGGCAATACCTTCAAATAAATTTGATTTTTTTGTTATTATAAAATATAGAAATTCAATAATTCAATACCAACAAATGCACCATTGTTGCAATCATCATTCCCAGAAGGAGAATGTTCCATTGATTTAGAGGTATTAGGTGCGAGAGCACTAGATAAAGGCAATTTATTTCCAATGGAGGCAGTAGAAGGTGACATAGCAACAGCTTCAAAGTGGAGTAACACTTTTTCAAGATTCTGATCGCTTTGAAGGCCGTCAAGCACATACGTGCATGTTGTATTTAATGGAAACATTTCCGGAAACTAACAAATTTAAATTAATAAGCTAAACAAGTTACATTTGGCGATTGGATATAATGAACAGATTCTCGATTGGAGCGTACCTTTTAAATAAAATTTTATGATTAAATTTATTAAAATTATCACTCTAATATCACATTCCGATCCTCTAATATGTGAGATTCTCCTCTGTGGGCCAATAAGCCGAACAATATCTACAAAACGAGTAGAGAATTCGTAATCAATTGCAAAGCTAAAAAACGAAATTTTATAAAATTATCAGTTTTCTAGACTAACCCTCTCATGTCATTTTTAGGCGGTTCTGTAGTATTAAATTCGAGCAACAATGTCGTGCCAAATGAAAAAAGTTCTAAACGTTGTTGAAGGCCTAAAATTTCAATTAAGAATTTATATAGACCTATCTTTAAAATTTGATACCACATAGTTTTCGTAGGATAGGTTCAGAGTTTGTATCACCATCATATATGGTCAAAGAGTCATAAGGACAACTAGAATAAAATTAAAATGAGTACAATAAAGTGAGAAATATTTACTGTTCGCCGCCAAAGTAAACATCAAAATCTCTAAAATTAAGGAATATATTAACCTCGTGCCCGAGGAAAATCAAACATACTTGAAATAAAGACGGATTCGCTCTCCTTGTTTCCCCTTCAATAAATAAACGCAATGAAAATTCTAAAAATAATTTAAAATAGTTATTAAACTTCTTTGAAAAACTAAACGCTTGGATAAGCACCCGGATATGTAGGAGACAGAATTGTGCCTTGATTTCTATTTGATGACTCAATAAGAAAAGCACATCCTTTTCCATCGGATGGACCAAATGGAATGCCAGGTACGAATTGTGCTTCAGGAATGAATTCAAAAGTGCCAGCGAGAACAAAAGGATCACCTCGACGACGACCAATACGAGAATGAAGTACAAGAACAAGAACATGGTGCAAACTTGAAAAATTCAATAAAAAAATTTAATCAGGTCCAATGAAATACTACCTTATTCGAACATTTGGTGCAACCGTTCCACAGTACCGAGCATCTAAATTCGCAGAAAGCAGGTCCTCTGTAGGGTCTTCCAATTCTGAGTAGACATCCACATATTCTGATTCACAACTTAAAAATAAAAAAAATATTAAATCAAAAAATATCACGCACTGATTCGCAGTACCCGCTAATTGAAAAGAAGTGAATTGAAGCCTCACACGTTCTCTTGGCTTCGCCATAAACGTGTAAATACACTAAAAATAGAAACGTTAGCATCATAAAAATTTAAAAACAAGGGAGATTAATCTTGCAGAATATAAGTGAGATAAATGTGCGAGAAAGTTAATTTTAAACCCAATAGAATTTACATTATTGTAAAATTTACTCAATTTTATCCTACTTGAATGTCGTCTGGCAACGACTGATAGTGAACAGCACGTTCATTATCTTCGATCTCGTTGCTGTCATCAATTGAGATTGTTACAAATGGAGACCTAGTGATTTTATTATCATTGTCTTGTTCCCTTATATCACTTTCTTCGTTTTCAATATCATCGTTAATATCAGGCGCCTTAAAATCAGTGATTGCCTCCTTTGGAAAAATTGGGAGTGAGAAATGACCCTGGCGAAGAGAAGCATCAAATAGATGATCACAATCGGTAAACTCTGCATTGAATACATAAAAAGAATTAAGTACGTATTAAAGGCCAATCCGTTTACAAGATATTTTTATTATACATATTGTTATTAAAACTTTCTCGCAGAACATCTCAATTAATAATGGGTGAAATATATTCTGGAATAAAGGAAAATAAAATCAAGCCACCCTATTGATAATAAAAATACGTATTTACTTGTGATATTTGAAAACACCACGCAGCCAAAATACAAGAATAAAAAGGAGGATTAAACCAACGATGAGAGTAAAAAGCAAAGCAAATCTAAACAACAAAGGTCATGTAAAACTATTTCAAATAATAATCTACATGATTTCGCAGTCCAATGAACGGCAGAAAGGGCAATCTTCTCCCTGTAGAGAAGAATTGGCAGGAATAACTATTGCCTCTGGTTGCACATCTCCTGGTGCGCTGTTTAACGATACTCCACCACTTAATATTTTCGCATTGTTGAGGATTTTTTCCCGTTCTTGCAGTCCACTGTTTGTTTGTTGTTGTTCCTTTTCTTGCTGCTGATCTGAAAGTAACATTCCATTTCCGCTCTGTTCCGTTGAAGGTGGAAGTAATTTTGCATTTGTAGTTATGTATCCGCCTTCCAAGGAGCATTTTTTAGAAGAGGAAGTATATGAAGATGAAGTTCCAACTATATTCTGATGAATACGATTATGACTCGTTCTAACTGCCGAACTGTCAAGAACTAAAGATTCTGAGCCTTGGAGAAGTGGTTGAAGAGAAAATGATTGTGATAAAGAATAAGGTGAGATTGCACTTGAGGGAAGAGGACGAGGTTGATGAGGCACTGCCCTTATCACAGTAGTTACAGGAATATTAACGTGTTTTTGTTGATGTTGCCCGATTGTAGAAGAAACCTGTCTAATTTCAGCAGGGCAGAGTTGGCCTGTATTTGAAGACGAAGCGGCATTACTCATACTAAGGCGTTGATCACTAACTGTCAAGGGTTGCGGAAATTCTATTTGTGTTGGTCTAGAAGAACATGTGCATGAAGGCAGAGGATACGGCGGATTATCGCCACTTTTTTTTTGAAGAGTTGGAATGAATTTTAATGAAAGAATGGGAACTAGTAATAATAAGAAAAATCAACAAGGAAATTCTAAAACTAATATTTTAGCTTTTTAAATCGAGTGAAATGAAATTGACTAAAATATATTTCAATCGATAGAATTTCTTCATACGTCGGAAAAAATTGAAGTCTCACATCAAAACAAATAACAACGATCAACCAGTCAATTTTTTGATTAAATATAAGCCTGCGCAAACAAATGAAACGCCGCCTCACTCTCCCTCACAAACTCAGTCAACGCGCATAATCGTTAAAAGTAAACGGACTGGCCACTAATTCAAAGTTAAAATAAAATAACCTACGGAAGTCTGCCTCGATTTCACCAATCATCTCCATGTTCTCTCCAACTGTTTGATCATGATTTTGCTGAGGGAATGCTGATGGCACAACTGTCGAATAAATTCCACCAACAAAATTACTAAGTATTAAAATTGATGTTAAAGAAGTTTTTATGCTGCTATAATTTTCATCTATGGTAAATTTTTGATCTTTCCTCACTCCTCTCATTGCAGACTCCCATGTGGATTAAATATTGTCCTAAATATGTACAAGTTAAATAAAATGGCCCTGAAAATTATCTTGAAAAAAATGAGCAAAATTTGTGATAGTGAAAAAATTGATAAAATTTAATTTTACGATTTTTTAATTTGTTATATTTTTATACAGGATAAAATTGACAGAAAAAACACATTGTAAAAATTGTGAAAAAGATATAATCTAAACATTGTTAAAATAAAACGGCAAAAATAATCTAATTTAAAGACAAGTATTCTTTTTCAAGCTAGGAAACACAAATTTTGTGGTCGGGGAATCCTTATGGGGAATAAACTGTGTTGAAGGAATTAGAAAATATGAAAAAAAAAATTTAATTTTTGCAAAAAAAAGATAAATTCATTGATCATTCAGCCACCCTAGATTTAACCTAAAGAACAGAAAAAACCCAATTCTTGTGACAGCTGTCGCCATAAGTCATTGTTAAAGGTCATCTTTATATGTACTATAATCCCTTCAAACGAAACACTCATTGAGTAAGAAAGAAAGGTAATAATCCTCCCACTACTGCCTAATAATTCGAAAATGAAAGATAACCACCTAACTTTTAAAAAATAATCTATTTTTAAAGAAAATCCTAATAAATGTTAAAAGACGAATTTGATACATAGAAGTGTTTTAAAAAATAGAACAAAAATGTACATACTATATACATATAATATTAAACTTAAAAATTTGAAAGTCAACAACCCTTGCCATTAAGAACCACGCTTCTCACTATAATCATGCGGAGGTAACAAATAGTAATTCGCCTTCAAAGCAGCAGTTACAAGCGATAGTACTCTTGATTGAAATTCATAATAAATCGTTGTGTGAAAAAGTCCGTTGAACAAAATCAGTGAATATTCAGCCAACGCAAAGAGTGTATACATTCCAGGTTCGCAGTAACGATTATGTCTATAAAAAAAGTAGAGAGCAAATACCAAAGAGATAATTTGCCCAATGCAACAAAATGCTTTGGTTTGAAACGAGATTTCGCCCTGTAAAAATAAGGGATATAGTATTTTCCAATTTTACTTTTATTCAAAAAAAATTACAATTTTGCTGGAACGTCTTCTACCAGATAGGTCAAAAAGCCAAGTAACAATCACCATATGTAAAGTGCCACATATAACGAATGCATTAAACATAAGCATATGTAAAACTGGAAAAAAAGATAATAAAGGATCATAATAAAAGTTAGCTTTATATTTATCAGTTACAATGGTCTTCAACCGACGAAATCATTGCAAGAAGAGTAAGAGACACAATCTCGATAACCTGAATAAAGAAATGATGTTTAAATTTGTAATAACATTTGTTAGACTCGCATTGAGTGCACAAGCAAGATGACAAGCCCAACGGAATCTGCCTAATAGCGGAAGAGGCCAAAGGCTAGAGCTGATTAAGTAGTTTCTGTGAAGATTATTTTCAGATATTTCAATTCATAATAAATCAAACCTGAAAGCAAAGGACATTGCAAGACGCGGCGTGCATGAGATTCCAAGAAGAAATCGCCAAATATAACGTTCGGGCGCATAGGCTACTACGGCCGAGAGTGACGGTAGCCAATTTGGGACTCCACAATGTGTTGATACAGCCTAATATAAACAAAAAATTATACGCATAAACTTTTTTAAACTAACCATTTCATAATGAATAAAAAGAGAAGTTGAAAGGCATAAAACAAATGCTAACATTGGACAACCAGTCAACATAAAAACCACAACATGAAAAGGAATAGAGAGCACCTAAAATAAAGCTAAGGAATTTTGTGAACAAAAAATGATATTGAATCTAATCTTAAACCTATCCACCAATGATTTTAAATCTAATATTATTTGATAACCTCCTCCTCTCCAAAAATATGCATCAGCGACAAGAAATATTGGAAAAGTCAATTTCAATCATTAAAAGAAATTACAAGAGTAACAAACATAATTAAGAATAAGAAGCAAATTAAAGAAAAATACAAGATTTAGAACTATTTAAATATTATACTAAATTCTTAAGATTTATAACATTTTTGCAAAAAATACTAACAAAAAAGTAAAGATTGATACTAAATATTCTACTTGTATTTGCATTTCCAAATAACATCATAAGGAGACAGCCAATATTGACAACCCTAAAACAGGAAAAGATACTAGGAAGTAAAAGAAAAATATTTTGAACCTGCATGTTGTACTTAATCATAGTGTCCCAATCGAATTTATTTTCATTTTGTTCTTTTATTTTAACTTCAACATCTCGTCTTCTTTGCAATAGTTCATCACTAACAAATTCAATAGGAAATGGAAAACGCTGCAGACAAGTCATTAATATCGCACGAGCCTACCAGTAAATATGTATACTAAATTATTTAAAAAATGAAAACCTCAGCTTCGAGTATGTAACCACCAACTTCAAGAATGATACGGCCTGCACGAACAGGAGTCTCAAAATGATGGATAGGGCCTTTACCACCGCCGCGCTTCGTGCCTCTCAAACGTCGAGTCCGTGGTAACCTATTTTGGGATAGATTTTAATTTAAAATAAAAAATAAATACCATGGGGCATCAACACGCCAAACTGCAAATTGATTTTTCTTTAGAAATTTGTTGACATGCTCCTTTAAAAAATTTGGTAAGTTTAGAAAAGATGTTAACATCTAGATATCGAAAAGATAAACTTACTTGAAGGTATGCAAAATCAGCACCAGTTATGAAGCCACCACTGATAGCAGCAAGTCCAAATTGTTTGTGAATCAACTAACAATAAAATTAAAATTTTCATAAAGAAACCACACATAATTAATGTTATAATATATTTAGAACACTTAATTGAAAAATATACCTCTGTGTGTATAGGTTCATAGCCTCTTGCCTCAATCATACGCCTATTCAGTTTTTTCTTAACCTCGCCAAGTGCTTCATCATAAACGGGTTCAGGAGGCATTGCAGGTAACTGAAATTTTCCATCAGGCGGAAAGACTACTTCTGAAATAGTAAAATGAAAATAAAAAACAGTTTGAAAAACATACTTTCGAATGTTACTGGATAATTATAGGAATTCCTAATTTGTTGTAAACATCGATAATTGGTAAGCAAAGATGTCACACAAATCCGATTAAGTTTATTCATTGATATCGCTAAAATTTACAACAGTTAAATGGAACAGATTGAAAAAAACCAAAAAGTGGGAGGAATCGGGGTATGTCGAATCGGATGTGACGAATGGGATGGTGACGAAATGGGGCGCAGCAGCAAAAAAGTGTTTAATTTCAAATTGGTAATTTTTACTTTAGCAATTCTTGAAATATATTTTCGACTTGTTAATTCGATTCGTAATCTTACAATTAGATTAGATTACTTTTACACAGCTTTCAGTGCGGTACTTGTGGCTTAGTTTGATTCTATGCCTTTAACGCGTTTTCTTTATTTCAGGATTTGAATGTTTTTATAAATATTTTGATATTTAATGGCTATATTTTGATTTACCACTAAGTTCAGAATGGAATACGGAGTTCAAACACACAACAAATTCGCTTTTTTGGATGGTACATTAACATAAATTTTATTTTGTAATTTTATTTTATAGAGGACGTTAGTGATCCGGAGGAAACTTTGACAAAGGCAGAGGAAGAAAAAAAGAAAGCGGCCGCTGTTCCTCATAAGAAAATTTCGAAACCTCTGGTTTCTGCGAAAACTTTGGTCGCTAAGGATGCTGCTAAGCCAGTCGTTGAGAAGAAGGATGGAGCTGATCAACCGCAAAGACAAACGGTTCGATTCGTGCCTGGTGAGCGAGGTGGGGCAAATAATCGTGAGCCGCGTAATGATCAAGGAACAAAATGGATTGAAAATCGTCCGCAACAGCGTCGTCCTCCAAATTCACAGAGTATATTTATCTATTCTAAGACGTTATATTAGAATAAAATATTATCAATGTTAAGGAGATGGTACTGGTACTGATGGTTTTACTGAAAAGCGCCTTACTAATGGTCGTCCGCCTCGTAATGATGTTGGTCAGAGGCGTGAAGTTAAGGGTGGTCCTGATGGTGAGCGCCCACCAAATAGGGGTGGTCCTCAGCGCGGAAGTGGTGGTGGGCGTGGTGATGGAAACGATGGTGGCTTCCGTGATCGTAACTTCCGCCAGGGTGGACAGCGTCGTCCGCGAGTAACTGAAATCAAGGAAGAAAACAGTAACTACTTTTATCTTTTAAATATAAGAAGTATTTTCAGAAGATGAGAAGAATGCTTTTGAAATATCTGAGGATAAGCCGCCGGAAGATGCTTTCGCTCCGAATGAGAAAATTGATGGCGATCAGAAGGAGAATTCTGAAAATGTTGAGAACGCGGTTCCAAAGGATGAAGAAAAGGTACCCAAAATTCTTTGCTTTTGTAAATTTTATTTAAGAAGAACGAAGATGCTGCGCCTGAAGAACAAGTTCCTCGCGGGAAAACTTATGAAGAATGGAAAGCTGAGCTTAACCAAAAATCTTTGGAGGCTGTTCAGTTCAAGACTCGACAGGCAGGCGAAGGAGCTGATGAGAAGATTTATCAAAAGTTGGTTCCGCTTAAGATGGATAAGAAATCGTCAGAGGGAGGAAAGAAGCAAGAGGACGACGAAATCGCTCAGCATGTAAATCTTAACTAATCAATTTTAATTTCCTTTTTAAATTTTAGAAGGAGAAACGTGAGAAGATTATTTCTGTTGACCTTGCATTTGCGGATAAACGCTCTACATTCGTTCGCCAGGACTTTCGTGGTGATGGACGCGCATTTGGTGGAAGTGACCGGCAAGGCCAGAAAGGCGGCCCCCGTGGGTCTGCGCCTAGTGGCGGATTTCGGAACAACTATGGTTAGCTCATTCATCCCTTGTAATCTCTAAACTTTTAAATTTTGTTAAAGGTGGTGCTGGATCTTCAAGGCGTCCGCAAGGCAAATCTGCTCAGGATGGATTTATGTTAGAAAGTGATCAGTTCCCTGCACTCGGAGCCCATTGATAGAGGAGAAATTTTTAAATGATTTGATTTGTCTGCCGTGTTCTCCTGTTCTCCCACACATATTATATTCTCATACGAAGATTTTGGGATTTTAGTACTCTGAGATTTTATTGAATGCAAAATATTTGACCCAAAATCTTCGTTTCTCGTTCTTTATTTTATGAAACAATCCCAAGGAAGATGGAAGTTGAGAATTCAAATAAAACCGGCACTATCTACATTTTGATCTCTTCTTTCCCTTCCGATTTTATTTTGTTGTTTCATCGTTTATCCTTATACAACCGCATGGAACTATTTTTGTTGACGTATACTTTAAAATCAATTTTTATTCAATAAACAAATGAACCCTTTTAACATTTCAAAATTTTTAATCGACTTCAGAACTCACTGTTTCTTTAGATTTTTGCTTCCGCGGATCTGCCGAACATAAGATGAATTTTCTACGGCTTTTCTCCATTTCATGTCGCTTGAATTTAATTTGTAATAGATGTTTTCGAAATTAGTTTTACCTTCAGAACCCATTCGTATTCCCCACTACGAGTGTCATATGCTCCTTTTTGCAGCCATTTAAGTCTCAAGGTGATTCTAGGTCCTAATTCGTGGAGTGCTGCCTTCGTCCCTTCTTTTTTGAATTCATATCTAGAAATTAGAAAAGGTTTAAAAAATATTAGATTTAGTAGATTTAATAATTGTTAGTTTTATTTAGAATTAATTACCGATGGTGTCTAAAGAATACGTAGTCCCGCTGATTATGTAAAGTGATAACTCTTCTGCCGATGAAGTCAGGTTTTTGTGGGAAAAGACATTCGAACATCCGAGAAATTGTTTTTCCTACTCTCGTACGGAAGTTGTTAAGAATCACCTCGGGATAATGGTCCGTCGATTCACCAGCATCCTTAAGGAGATTATGTTAGATTTATTAAACCTTTTAGTTTCATTCACCTTAATTTCTTTTGTATACTTCAACGAATTTATTTTGAAATAAGCCGTTGGTCCTTCAGGAAGGTGAATGAGAGCAATTCCATTTGGCCTTTTACGATCTTCATGTACAACCTAAAAGTTACCCAAAAATTAATTTAAAAAATTTAGTTTACAATGATGTCTGTAAACTTGTGCTCAATTGCTTGCTTGACGACTCGCTTCATGGCTACGTTTTTTCTCGAATAAATTTCCACGCCTGGTATACACTTCTTAAGCTCAAAACAGAGCTTCCAAGTTCGCTGAAAATTAATTTTAAAAAGTAATAATTAAAAATAGATTACGAGTTTTGCTCTAGGCGAAGTTGTAACCAAGATTTTAGGTACCAACTCGCTTTTAAAATGTTCGCTCATTTCATCATTTACAAGATCGTCAAGAACCTCAAAAATAATCTTTAATCATTTACATTTTATAGTAACCTCTTCATCATCTGAATATACATATGTTTCATCCGGTTCTTGCATACTCTCAATGGTTTTCGGAACTTGTTTCGGAACAGCCTCCTCTCCATGCTTCTCACGCTCTTCTTCTCGCTTCTTCCTTCTTTCACGTTTTTCCTGGAAAATATATGTCAATTAAAATAGAAACAAACTCATACCTTGTCTTTTTCCGCCCTGATCTCAAACCCTCGCTTCCGCGGCTTCCTAGTTTCTGGCATCTTTATTGATCAAGAAAATTCAGACCGTCAAATTATGTAATTATGGAAAATAGCGAAAAAATTAAAAGATAATTATAAATTGTTCTTGATACAAGTTGAATGAAACTTGAAAATTATAATCAGATTTATGAGCAAATAAATTTTTATAAGTGAAGAATTAAATTGGCATATAAGTAAATGGAAAAAGAATACAAATTAGAATTATAAATATCTATTAATATAAAGTTTGAAGATATACCCAAAATTTTACTGAATTTCGAACGACGCTTCTGTTATTCCACTTATTCCAATTACAAGTTTATCGCCAGAAACACATTGAGAAACACCTGACGGAGTGCCGGTGAGTACAAGATCACCTATTAATAAATGTATTTATCGTGAAGGCTTTGTAAAAATCCTTACCCGGTTGTAGAGTAATAGTACGAGTTATGTACTCCAAAAGCGTCGGTATGTTGAAAATCATACAATCAGTCTTTGACTTTTGACGAATTTGACCATTAACTTAAGTATAAAAATATAAAAAAGGAATCCAATAAAAAAGTAAACAACCTGAACAATATATTTCTAAATTGTGAGGATCCGTTATTTTCTTCTTATCTATAAACTCCCCAATCGGACAAGACGAATCAAATGATTTTGCGAGGTACCAAGGATGTCCTGCTTTCTTGAAATCATCTTGTATATCTCTAGCAGTCATATCTAGGGCAATTGTGTAACCACCAATGTAGTCGTAAGCCTTTTCCTTTGATATTTTCCGAGCATTTTCAGAGATAACAACGCCCAATTCTAACTACTTGCAAAATTATCTTGGATATTAGAAAACAAAACCTCATGATGTAGGCATAAACAATCAGCTGGCGCTTTAATTTTACCACCATCAAGAACATAGGCATTGACCGTTTTAGCAAAAATGAGTGGTTTTTCAGGAATGGGATTGTTTCTGTCAATAGAAAAAGTTAACTAAATATTATCTTAAAAATCATACAATTCTAAGGCATGTTCTCGATAATTTCGGCCAACGCAAACGATTTTCCGTCCAAATTCGTAAAACTTTTTAAAATTATATGAAGCCATCTAAACGAAAAAATCTAAATTAGTATACGCATATATTTAAGAAATAATAGATAAATATCAAAATCGTCGTGTCGTCGCTACCACAATTAACAAAAAATTTATTGCTTTGAAAATATGAAAACCGAAAAACAATTTGAATTTATACATGGTGAAATGACGCAAATAAGTGATAGAATCAATTTAAGGCGATCTTTGGACAAAGAAGAAAAAAATAAATAAAATCAAAGAAACCAGATTAATCAACAGAACCAGTAAAATATTCGAGAAAATCACAACACAAAATTAAAGAAAATAATTGAAACAAATGATGTCACAAAGAATTTTTATTTTTTATTTTGGAGGGATAACACATTGATGGCAATTCTCCATTTCAGGTTTATAACCTTCAATCTGCACAGTTGATTCATGAACATTAAAATCTCGCCTAAGCATTGTTGTTGTTGCTTTCAGTATTTTTTGTGAGTCAGCGCTTGGATCAATTTCCAAATGTACAGATATTGCCACTAATTTAAGAATTATTAGCAAATTAATAAACTAGTAAAATCTACCTTTATTCATTGTCAATGCCCAAATTCTAAGATCATGCACTTTTTTTACCTTAAATTTATTTCAAAAATTATTGGGAAAACTTATAAATTCTAACCCCATCAATCCTTTCCAATGCGTCAAAAACCAATCTAAAATCGATATTCGAGGGTCGGCCTGAAATTAAATCATGATTTTTCAATTAGAGTATGTATAATATATACCTTCCAACAAAACAACAAGCGCATCACGGACAATGTAAATTGTTGTGCTGTAAATGTAAATTTTTCATTTCGTGCTAAAAATACCTAAGAACAATTATTGCAAAAACCAGCGTGCATATTGGATCAAGTATTTGTAAACTTGGCTAAAATAAATTAAATACAAAGTCACTAGTTTTAAAAAAAACCTCCCAGAAGATCATTAGACCGGCGAAAAGTACACCGCAGCTTTGTATAAGATCACCTAAAAGAAAATTTTTCAGAAAAAACTGAATAAAAAAGCAACCTAAAACATGAATAAAGGCAGCACGAACATTAATATTTGCTTGATTGGCAGAATGTAATTTTGCTTCGTCATTGTTGTTTTGTTGAACAAGAGGAAATCGTTCATCTTCCTCAGAAAAATTAGGGTCAACATTCGAATACTCAGAATCAATCTCATTTCTACGTCTACCACCATTTTCGTGAGCATGTGTTGTTCCGTTGTGTGAGTGAGAATGTCCACCAAAGTAAAGCAAAAAGCCCATTCTATTAAATAAATTTTAATAATTTGATTTTTTTTTAAATTTACATGAAATTTACTCCCACTCCAATTGCAGCGGTTATACTCATTATAGTAGCATCAATGTCATAGTTTCCTGAAATCATTCGGTCAATTGCCAGATAGACTAAATAAAAATATACAATGCGAAAAATATAAATATACCTAAAATTCCAGTAACAACCCAAATAAGGCATATTGATACAAAGGCGCCAAACACTTCTAAAGACAAAAAATGATTGACATTCATGAAAATTAAAACCTGCTCTGTGCCATCCAAAACTCATTCTTTGTGAAGCGGGACGGCTTGCAATATAAATTGAAAATAAAGAAATTAGCATGCTCGCTAAATCCGTTAAAAGATGCGCTGCATCAGTAATGATCTAAAAACTAAAATAAACATTGACTATATTTAGAAAACAAACAGCTAGAGACTGAGCCCATATACCGCCAATAACTTCACAAATCTAAAAACAGAATTTTTAAAAGAAAGGAACTTGCAACATTTTTAAAATACCATAAATAATAAGCAAACTCCAATTGACAACCAAAGTACTCTGGTAGCCCGCTTGCTTGTTTCATTAACATTTAGCTCATTCTCAAATCTATTGTGGCAATGAAAAGCATCCGAATTGCCGTTAGCCATTATTGTTGTAGGTAAATTCGAAGGCACAGAGGTTTGAGGTGGAGGCATTTGATCAAAGGAAGTAGAAGCACCAGAATTAATTACAAAATTACCCCTTAAAGGAAGAATTTAAATAATTGACATTTTCGCCATCGAACATATTTAATGGAGAAGTAGAAAATTGATTTGTACCATTCTCCGTAGCTGTTATCGACATCACTGCTTCTTTGCTCATTGTGGTCGTCCCATACGATTGCTAAAATAACAAAGATAAGAATTTATAGGAAACCCCTTCCTGTCATTAATATGTTAACATTATCAGTAAAATTGGGAGCATTTGAGTTTCAGAAGAAACAGGTCAAATATATTGAGAAAAGCCGTTAAATATATTTATTCCAACTCACATAATTTCCTAAAAAACGTTCCATTGCTTAGTCATTAAAAATATGATAAGGGAGAGGCATGAGACAAAGAGGGAATAAAGGAAAATCTCTATTACAGTATTTTATTACGATTAAAACCTGGTAACTTATTATAATTGGATTTTTTTGAAAAAATTAGCTTGAATGATGAGGCAATATTGGAAGGATCCAGCGATCGCGTAAAAATTGATGCATTCTTAAATAAGTTGCACAATACCTGAAAAAGAAAAAAATTAACAATTTAAAATTTTTAAAAAGAATAAGGAAAGGTCACAGAAAAAAAATAATCAAATAGTCTAGATGTGATAAAACTTGATGAACTTGATGCAACATCAGCAAGATATGATAAGACTCAAATACCTAGGACTCAAATGGAAAATAAAAATTTAATGGGATGAAGTGTCAATAAACAGAATGCCAAAAATAAAATTTAAAGATACCACCAACGGAAATACTTAAGCTAAAAACCCAATAAAAGACCCCCCTCCCCAGGGTTTCTTCCTGACTTCCCCATCATTTAAAAAACCTGTCTTTTTGAAGCAAATTCTGGTGTGTCCTTACACATCCATGCCACATGTTGATTTCTTAAAACTGAGAAAAATTAAAATTGAGAAAGAACAAGGACAAGAAAGACAAGGACAATAAAACACAAATGTGAAAAGATAAGGTTGTTCGCGTGCGTATTTTTACAGCAAGCGATTTTTCATTTAAAAAATCTTAAGATTTACCATGCCATAAGTTGATGAAGAAGAACCAGAAGCTGATGAGGAAGAACATGAAGAGCAATCCATCCAAACCAACAAGAGCAACCAGGCCAGCAGAGAAACTAGCTTAAAAAATACCCGCCCTCCCTCCCTCAATTTTTATTTAAACAAAAACCACACCGTAGAAGCAAGCCACCAACCAACAAGCATGCCACCAAACCACAGAAGCAAGCCAACAACCATCAAGAGCACCAGCAACAAGAGCAGCCAAGCAACTAGAGAAACTAGCTTAAAAAATACCCACCCTCCCTCCTCAATTTTTATTTAAACAAACCATGCCGTAGAAGCGCCACCACCAAGCCATCACTCCAAGCCACCAAAGCACCACCAAGTCATCACTGCGAGCCACCAAAGCACCACCAAGTCATCACTGCAAGCCACAATGCACCACCTTCCAAGACCCAAAGTAAAATTTTAAAAATTAAAACTAGTTTAATTTTATAAATTAAAAAAAACCGCCACCATGAAGAACAGGTAACCAACAGCATATTCTTTAACCAACAGCATATTCTTCAGGAGACAACATAAAAAAACAAAAGATTTATTTTTAAATTTAAAAAGTTAATATAAACTAGGAAAAAAAATAACCGTTTAGATGAAGCCAACATGTAGAGATTGGAGACGCACCAGGGCAGCAGGAGGACGGGCCTTTAATTTGAAAAATAAGAAAATCTTCAACAAAATTTTAAAAATTTATTTTTTTTTTATTTTTGCGCGCTCGCAGCAAGGGTGAAACGATAAACGAATAAAAATTAAAAAAAAACAGATGAAATAAATAAAAAACAGATGAGATAAATGGAAAAACAACAAAAAAACGTAATCTCCGGAGATTAACAAAAATCGATGAAAATCCAGAATTGAAAAAAAATGACGCCAACTATATTTGAACTAATAATTTACGCTAACAATACAGAATTAATTCTGTTAACTTTCATTCTGGATAATGTTAAAGTGTCGATTTGTTGTTGTTTTGTCGATTAATCGAAAAATTCTTGGACAAAAATGCATCTTTTCACAACCGATTTCAAAAATCTAAAATTCTTCGTCAAAAATTCTGTTTTTTCTTTATTAAGATTCATTATCAACTCGAGATTATTATCTAATTGAATAGAGTTTTCATATTTTACCAATTTTGGTCAAATAGCAATGGCCGGCGTTTTCGAATTGGAGCTAACTGATCATAATCATTTAACACCTGTTGGCGAATTTTCTGATATGGATGATGATGATGAATATGTAGACGTTGCTGATGTAAGATTTTGGAAAAGAATTTTTTTATTAATTTTATTTTAAGGGAGAAATTTCAACTCCCCCTCCTTCCTCTTCTTACATGTATGTATTTATAAAAAATTTTATAAATTTTAAAGAAATGACCGCTAAATTTTAGAAATGACCCGCAAGTTGAAGCCTTAGAACTTGGCGAACATGCCGAGCTAGTCAATCCTCCTAACACTAAAGTAGGTCCAGAGGACTTTCAATTGCTCAAGGTGTTAGGAAAAGGAGGATATGGAAAGGTTAATATAATTATTTATTTTTATTTCTTTCCTTTCTTTAGGTTTTTCAAGTAAAGAAAGTCTCAGGGACAGACCGAAACAAAATTTTTGCGATGAAAGTACTTAAAAAGGCAACAATAATTCGTAATCAGAAGGATACTGCACACACCAAAGCTGAAAGAAACATTTTAGAGGCTGTTAAGGTTTTGATTTTAACTCAATATTTTACTCATTTTACTTTTAGTGTCCTTTCATTTGCGATTTGCAATACGCCTTCCAAACTGGCGGGAAGCTTTATTTAATTTTGGAGTATTTAAGTGGCGGAGAGCTTTTTATGCATCTTGAACGGGAAGGTATTTTTCTCGAGGACACTGCAGGATTTTAGTTTGTCATCTGATTTTTTTCAAACTTTATTTTTTTCTAAAGCTTGGCAGAAATTGTTGTTGCTCTTGAACATCTTCATAAACAGGTTAATTTGTGAAAGGATTTTCTGAGTTAGTTTTGAATTTAGGGAATAATCTATCGAGATCTTAAGCCTGAAAACATTCTTCTGGATTGTAAAGGGCACGTCAAATTGACGGATTTTGGTCTTTGCAAAGGTTTTGTTTCTAAATTTAAATATTCTTTTTAAATGTAATTTTCAGAAGCCATTGAGGGTGACCAGAAAACACACACTTTTTGTGGAACTATAGAGTAAGTTTATTTTTTTGTATTTAGAATATCAACGTGTCCGATTATTTAGGTACATGGCTCCAGAGATTTTGATGCGAACTGGTCACGGAAAGGCTGTGGATTGGTGGAGTTTGGGAGCATTAACTTTCGATATGGTATTTTTATTAAACTGTTTAAACTTTTTGTTTTATTAGCTAACTGGTGGTCCTCCGTTTACGGCAGAAAATAGGAAGAGGGTATGTTTAATAACAATATATCCAACTTTATTGTCATTATTTCAGACTATTGATAGAATTTTGAAAGGAAGGCTTACATTACCACCTTATTTGAGCACAGAAGCGAAAGATTTAATTAAACGATTATTAAAAAGGCACGTCGACACTCGATTGGGTGCTGGGCCAACAGATTCGGAAGAAATCAAACAACATATCTTTTTTCGTCATCATATTTCTAATTGGGCAAAGGTTTATAAAAGAGAGGTTTATTTTTAATAATGCACAGAATCTTGGTAAAATACAATTTTCAGTTGGAACCTCCATTTAAGCCAGATATTACAAGCGATGAGGACACTTCACTTTTTGATACAAAATTTACAAAAATGACTCCGGTCGATTCTCCTACAGCCGATATTTCACCTACAGCTGATCCTTTTATTGGATTCACATATGTATAAGCAGTTTTTTAATTCTTCTAATTTTATAACTTTTAGGTGGCGCCATCCTTATTAGAGCAAAGTGAGCAGCCGACTCTGATCAGACCAAGGCAATTTCGAAAAATGTAAAGGTTAATTTTTTTATTGTCTAAAACTTAGAAATGTATTAGAAATGCTCCAGACCGTACACTTGTTGGTTGTAATTCTTCTGGTAAAGAGGAACCAATGGAGTAATTTTGAATCTGTTCTCCCATTTCCTTAAATATAAAAAGTCTAAATTAAAAAATCCATTTGTCAATTTTTCGAACATTTCAAATAAAAGTGGATTTGGGGGAACAGTGATTATCTTTATATAGGAGGTGGCAAAAGCTCAAATTTAATTCTATGAACTACGAAAGGCCAAAAGCTTACGTTAAAAAAGCAATTCGCTCATTCATAGAATAATCCCATCAATACTTTTCTATAAATAGTGTTTGTCCTCCACCCTTCTATTTTTTTAAATTTTCATGATTTGTTGTTTATTTACTTTCTCAAAAAATTTTGCCGCTTTCTACTAAATGCTATTTCATTTTTGTTTCATAGATTTAAAATAAGAATTCTATTCAGACGTTGTATACGTTGCTCACAATGATCATTTTAATGGCCTGTCCTCAAATTCTTAATCATATTGTAGACCCCTTATTATTGCTTCCTCAATATTCAAAAAATTTTAAATTGTACTCTGTTTTCTATTCTTAAATCTTGAGGGTGCTTAAATATTTTTAATATCCCTTTAATTTCATTTTTATGAATGAGTTATGCATGAATAAATTTTGATAGTAATGTATGTGCGGAATTAGTTTTCTTTTGATTCTCCATTCGATTCTCCATTTACACTGAATATAGATAATAGTTGATCGGATGAGAAATTTCCACGATCAGTAAGAAAACCAGAGATCAGATTTCCTGGGGTTATGTCAAAAGCTGGGTTCCATACCGGACAACTTGTTGGACAATGAGCTACTCCTAAAATAAAAAATTAAAAAGAATCTTTCAAAATAAAAATACCAGCCCAATGAGTGAGCTCTTTGCTAGGCCTTTCCTCAATATGAATTCCATCTCCGCTTTCAAGCTTGGTGTTCACTGAAGCCACAGGTGTAACGATAAAAAAAGGAATCTTATGCTGGTGTGCACAAATAGCGAGAGAATAAGTACCAATTTTGTTCGCAGTATCCCCGTTCAACGCTACTTGATCTGCCCCTAAAATAAGTACTATTATTATTGAATTTGGGAAAAATAAACCAGCTAGCGCAACATCCACTTTAAAGTGCCGAATTGCAGCAGCTGCCTGCAAAAAATTAAACGAATCTGAAAAGTTGTTAATTTAAGTACATACCGCGCTGTCAGCAATTAGTAAGAACGGCACACCACCTTTTTTAAGCTCGTAAGAAGTTAGACGAGATCCTTGGTTGTAAGGGCGTGTTTCGAGCACCAACGCCAACTTCAAATGGCCTAATCGATGTAGCATCAGAATTACACCTTGAGTGGACGGATTTAAAAAATTTAAGCTGTTTTCAAACCAAGTGCAGTTCCAAAAGAGCTAGTGGCCAGCTGTCCGGTATTACAAATACTTAAAAACTAGTTTATTTTTAACTTAAGAAATTAAAACGTTATTGCGACAAGCCGTTTCTTTTCGCCATTGTCGATTTCTAGGTTCCTTGTTGCTGATAAAACAGCATGAATTGAATTTCTTAACAATAAATCATTTTCCATTCGTTCTCTTGCTTGCCACTCAAGGATAAAATTTCTAATCCTTTAAAATGAATATTTTTATGAATAAAAAATTATTTTACAAACCCAATTTTCAATTTTATCACTCCTGCTCCCTTCAATCCTTTTGCATATCCCCGAAGTTCGGAAAATCCATTTGAGAGATTTATTGCGGTAGGACGAGCACTCAGAAGAAAACTGCAATTTTGTTCCAACTCCTTCAAACAACCTTCCACATCCCCTATAACATTTTTTCTAGACTGCTCCACTAACAAAGTCAGCTGAAAAAATTATTTCTTGTCAGATTAATAAATGTATACCATTCCAACGGTGGCAATCAGCGGTGCACCTCGGACCTGAGAACAGAACTTAAGTTTCTGAACTATTATTAAGCTACCAACCTTCATTTGCTTGATTGCGTCGAATCCATCATTAAGCGATCTTATGGGCACGTAAACGCTCCTGCTGGGAAGTAGTCGTTGGTCAAGAACCTCAAGATTAGAATTAATTTATGTCGTATAAAGATAAAAAACAAACCGAAAGTGTGCATTTTTCTGGGTCGAATTGGTGTGCTTTAAGCGGAAGTGGATCCTTCGCAACAGATTTCCATTGGTGAACATTCGAATCAAAATTTTCTAGCTTAACTTTCATTTTCAGATTTGTTTTTGTTGCATTTTATTTTTTAGGAATGGAATCAAATTTCCAATGAAAAGGGAATCAATATCAGCGCTTAAGAGTGAATGGGTAAGATAACAACTTGGAAGGAGATGGCGCTTAAGCAAAGAAAATAACTGTCAATGTGTTATAATTAACACTGTGAAAAAAGTAATCTTTGTAATTTATGGTTAGTTTTTGAAAGAGTTTTTCGGTCTACTATCACAAAATTAAAAAAGAAAAACAAATTTTTTGGTAAAATTTGTTTCAAAAATTTTAAGTGAATAATTAAATCAGAACAAATAAATCGCAACACCGGAAAAATTGGAAAGAATAAAAGGGAAAACATTAAAAATGCTTTTTTCATTTTTAAAACGTCTTTTAAAAATGTCCATTAACTCGAGTCGTTTGTTAAATCATTTTAACACATTAATGTCTTTAGAAATCAGAGTAACGAGGACCATTAGTGTTTTTAAATTCGATTTAATTTTTTAATCGGAATTATGAAAATTAAATGAATTTTTTTCTCACTTGGGTTTCGGTTTTCAAAGTAGAAAAGAAATTTAAATTATCAAAAAAATTTATCTCAAATAAATTTGCATGAAATTGTTGACTAAAAATATCAACATAAATTATAAGCTGAAGGGGTGGAAAATAAATGTTTGATTTTTGAATGTTATAGATTATCAGATTAAAAGATGTTGAATAAAAGATTCTTACTGATTTGCCATTTCACAGGCATCGATCCAATCACTGTACACATCAATCGGTTCAGTAAGAGAGGTTATGTTCGACTAAAATAGAAAATATTAAATAAATTTCTTAATAAAATGAGTGAATATAAGAAAATTAAAAAAAACGAAAATGAACCTGAAAATCCTCCATACAAACACGACACTGGATGAAGCCAACATTACGTTCACGATCCCTGAAAATTTTTAAAGTTGAAAAATTGTACTTATAAATAAACCCACATTTTAACTTCGCACACCTTCTCGTGATTACAGAAAGGACAGTTGAACTGAGTATCCAAAGCAACAATATTTTTAACTTTTGGCGGAGGCTTTCGTTTAGATTTGCGTTTACCCATTAGATCGTTAGATAAATTCCAATAAATAAAATCCTTAAGATAACTGAAAAGAAAAAAAACATAAAATCTCGTTTACAATTAAGCAGATCTTGAACAAGATTAATAAACAAAACAAAAATTAAAATTTTAGGATGAATCTATTAAAAATTTCAAAAAAGTTTTAGCAGGCTATAGAGTTAGAAAATAATGAGAAAACGCGACAACGACAGAATTTTTTATTGAGTCTCATTAATTTGTATACCATCAAGTTGGAATTGTTGAGACTCAAAAGTCGGATTATTCTTGGCGCGAAAATCTTTAGTTGTCGGTTTTTCTCATTATTTTCTAACTCTATAGCCTGCTAAAAATTTTTTTAATTTTTAAAAATTTTTTATCGATTTTTAGATTCTTCGAAATTAAACCTATTATGAGTTCACATTCTGACGAAAGTGACAACCCTTCAAGAATATCAGTTAAAATCATCGAACAAGTGAAGAAGTCTGGAGAATTTGATAAATATCGCAAGGATCTTGTTGACAGTATCGTTAACAGTGTATTATTTTCGTCTTTATTAAATTTCTTTTTTTTTTTGTTTTTTAGAATGACATGCAAGGGCTTTTTGATAACTGTAAACAAATAATTGAGGAATGTTTGGCAGCCTCACCAGATGCCGATTTACAAAAGCACAGGATTGCTTTTATGCGCGACTATGTTAAAGACGAAATAAAGAGGCGCAGAATTGTTGATAATTCCATGAGGCATGCTTTCAACGATGTATTTTTTATTTTATTTATTATTTTCATATACATCTAATTTTAGCATATGAAGCGGGTTGAACCTGTATTAATTTCAAGAATGGAGGAAATTGTACGAACCGAGTTGGGAATGCCTCCTCCGACTAAGGAGGTCAAACAAGAATTGCCTGATGCCAACCTTGAATTAATTGATATGGAAGTTTCTAGCGGTGGACCCTCTTCAGTTTCTATCTCTCCTGATGCCCCATCTCCTCTTCCATCTTGTTCATCAAGTGATAGGGTTAAAACTGATGATAAGGTGGAGTCTGAAATCAAGGTATCCTCTCCTATAGACTTTTCTTGGAATTAAAATAATAATTTAGGCCGAACCCGAGGACATCGACGACGATGCTACTTTAGAAAAGTTTGCCGGTTCTTCATGCACATCATCACTTTCTTGTAATGCCTCCGATGATGGAAAAAATTCAGAGAGAAGTACAGAAGCAGCCGATGATTGAATTTTGTTGTTCATATTAATTTTTAATTTTAAATTATTTATTAAAATAAATTTTCTAAATTATGCATTTTCTATACTATTTTATAAATTTTTATTTCTTATAAATTACTTGAATTATTTTGCGTAATTGCGCTTAAACTATCACTCATTTAGTTAATGCATCTTACTTTAAAATTTTTGAATCAGCAACCTAAAAAGTTTGCAAAAAGATTGGCCAAGCAGATTGCCGATTACGCTGCTGGTTCTCATATGGCTAAAAAACAAATTAACATCCCAGACTCCGATACACTTATTGATCGGTTAAAACTCGAGGATTTATTGAAAAGGCGTTTCTTTTATGATCAAAGTTTTGCAATCTATGGAGGTGTTGGAGGTTTAAATTTCAATCTTAACATTACATAATGCGATTTCTAGGACTTTATGATTACGGTCCGATGGGTTGTGCTCTTAAACAAAACATGATCCAGCTGTGGAGGACACATTTTATTTTGGAGGAAGCAATGTTAGAAGTTGAATGTTCTTCTTTAACGCCGGAAAGTGTGCTGAAGTAATTCTTTTATTCCAAATTCTCTAAATATTTTTTCGAAATTAGGGCTTCTGGACATGTTGATCGATTTGTTGATTGGATGGTTTGTCTGCTTTTATTTCAAAATCTAGATGAATTTTTTTAGGTAAAAGACAAGGTGACTGGTGCTTGCTTTCGTGCAGATCATTTGATAAAAAATCATGCAGAAGCAATCATTAAGGTTGGTAACTATAATATCATTAAAACTTGAAAACAATTTAGGACAAAAAAGCACCTGAAAATATAAAGAAGGAACTCGAAAACGTCCTTATTCGTTTGGATGGAATGAGTTGTGCCGACTTGGGTGAAACTATTCGGAAATATGACTTCAAATCACCGCTTACTGGAAATGATGTTACCGAGCCTGTATCTTTCAATCTAATGTTTCCTACACAGGTTTGCTTTTCTAAATTAGTATATAATTAAACGAGAAAATATTTCAGATAGGGCCAACAGGCGATTTTTCTGCATTTTTGCGTCCTGAGACTGCGCAGGGAATTTTTATTAATTTCAAGAGACTCCTTGAATTTAATCAGGTAAAAATATTTTAATTGATTTTAAATCTCTTTCTTATGTTAGGGTAGACTTCCCTTTGCTGCTGCTCAAGTTGGAACTGGATTCCGAAATGAAATTTCGCCTAGGCAAGGACTTGTCCGTGTACGTGAATTTACAATGTGTGAGATCGAACATTTTGTTGATCCGTCTGATAAGAATCACCCAAAATTCGAAAAGGTTGCCGACATTGAATTGACACTATTCTCAGCGTGTAATCAGTTGAATGAGAAAGGAACAGAAAAGGTATAATATTTTTTCAATTTCGTCAATATTTCTTAAGGTAAAAATTTGCGATGCAGTGGCGAGCGGCATGGTTGACAATGAGACACTTGGATATTATATGGCTCGTACTCATCTTTTCCTTCTCAATGTTGGTATATCTCCAGATAAATTACGGTTTCGGCAACATTTATCTAACGAAATGGCACATTATGCAAAGGTTTATTTTCCCAATGTGTTTAGTTAATTATACTTTAGGATTGCTGGGATGCTGAATGTTTAACTACTCACGGATGGATTGAAAGTGTTGGCATTGCTGATCGGTCATGTTATGATTTGCATCAACATTCAAAAGCTACTGGAGTCAAATTAGTTGCTGAGAAAAAACTTGCCGAATCAAAACAAGTTGACGTTGTAGAAGCAGTGCCTAATAAAGCTGCTATTGGAAAGTTGTTCAAGAATGAATCTAAAAAGGTTATTTTTAAATTGTATTTACAATAGTAAATTTTTATTTCGTAGATAATTGATTTACTAAAGAATTTATCTCTAGAGCAAGTCGATGAATTGGATGATTCACTTAAAAACAATGGGTTATTTTTAAACTTTACTTCTAAAAAATCAATTTATTTTTAGAAAATATTCTGTCAAAATTTCTGATGATAAAACAATCGAATTGGACTCTACGCATGTTGAAGTTAGGAAATATTTAAAAACTGTTCACGTGGAAGATGTTACTCCATCAGTCATAGAGCCTTCATTTGGTATTGGTCGTGTGATGTACGCCGTCTTGGAACATTCATTTAGACAAAGGGAAGGTGATGAAAAGCGTTCGGTAGGCATCATGTAGAAATCAATTTTTTAAATTTTTATAAAAAGTATCTTGAATTGGCGCCAAGTATAGCTCCTATAAAGTGCTCGATTCTGCCTATAAGTTCAAATAAGCGATTGGATCCAATAATTCAAGCAGTTCGTGAAGAGCTTACAAGTCGGGAAATCAGTTCAAAAATTGTAAGTTTATTCTTTTCTATGCGTGTGAATCAGCGATGTTTTTACAGGACGATAGTATGGGCTCAATTGGAAGACGGTATGCGCGAACTGATGAAATTGGTATTCCATTTGGTGTGACAGTTGATTTTGATTCGGAGGTTGAACCATGGACTGTTACTCTACGTAATTTGAATAATAACGAGATTATTCACTAATATAGTTTTATATTTAGGATATAGTGTCACTATGCAACAGATTCGTCTTAAGGTTATAAAAATGTGCTTAAGAAAATTATTATATTTTTTAGGTTACTGAGGTTGGGGATTTGGTTGCTCAACTCGTAAAAGGGAAAATGAACTGGGAGAACGCGTGTCAAAAGTTTCCAATTTTCAATGCATCCCAAGACAATGATTGAAACTTTTGAATCAAATTTAAAGTTTTGTAATTAATTGACGTTATTTATTATACTCTTGGCGGGAAGTTGGATATTAAAACATGGGGGTATTTATCTTTTATTGTTTAGGGATTTTTATTGGTGATTTCCATATTGAACTATGTCTAAAGATTTTATATTTAATGTTACTTTTTGCCGTTACTTTTTGCATTTTTCCTTCCAAATTAATATAGTAGAATTCTTTTCCTCCTGTATTTTTTTGCCTTCTTTGCTTTTATTTAAAGTAAGGGTCAATAAAGAATTTAACGGTGAATAAATGGAAAAAATAACGGACGTGTGAAAGAGTTGGGAAAATTGGGACTCAATCGGTCATAAAGATTTTCTTGGCTTTGAAAGTTAATAAGGCCAAAAGTTAACGATATTAAATATTAAAAGATTGCTTAATATGTAATTTCTTGTTAATGTTGTATGCATTTTATAGTAGAATAAAAACATCAATTTGATATTTCAGTTTAATATTTTTTGTTTTATCGATTTTTTACTTTAATTTTTGGCTTTATATTGATTTCTAATTTTGTTTTTAGAGAATAACTAAAACATACAAAATGGCTAACGAGTTTTACTATTCGAGCAAGTATGAGGACGATGAATTCGAATATCGACATGTACACGTGACTAAAGAGGTTGAATTTAATGATTTTAATTTAAAATTTTATTTTAAATTTTAGGTTGCTAAGTTAGTTCCGCACAATCGTCTTATGTCTGAGTCGGAGTGGCGTAGTATTGGAATTCAGCAAAGTCCAGGTTTGAATATTTTATTTTTTACTGATTCATTTTTGAATTAATAGGATGGATTCATTACATGATTTGGCCAGCGGAGCGTCATATATTGTGAGTTTAATTTTTTTGGTATCCTTAAAAGTCTTATTGTTAGACTCTTCCGGCGTCCTAAGACACGTGATCACCCACCAATCAAAATTTGAAATGCTCAGAATGCACATAATTGGAAGAAACTTAAACTATTATTGACCTTATGCTCCCAGTATTTTTTATTGGCTTATGAAATTTATTCTTATTATTTTTGTTTAAGGAGTTTAAGTCTGTTTCACGAGTCTTTGTAAAAATAAATTATTTTAGACTCATTTTAATAAAAATATTTTTGACTTTGAAGTAACTTATTATGTTGCCTTTTGCTACATTAAATCCTCTTACTCTTTTAACAACTATTTTACGCGTATGCCAATTTTCTGGCGTAGAGCTGGCCTCTCATACAAATTGTTTTTGACACTTACTATTAGTAACATCGGGTGCTAGCTTTTCCTTGTATTCATTCACTCGGGGGAAAGGAGGGATGTGGCGCGAGAATAGAATACTTAATTAAATATTTTCGACCCCATATGGTAGTATTTACAGCCATTTTCTTTTAATTCAATCCAAAAGTTGGCCAAAAATGAGACGTTTGGTGAGGTACATTCTCCTTCAGCATATTTGTCTTTAAAACAATTTTTCTTGGAATATGCATGCTTGGGAGGATATGCTTCTATTGTAATTATGAAATTTATTTTTTCCATTATAAGATGGTTGAGTATTTTTGTCCAAAATTTATCTAAAAATAGACAAAATTTTCCGCGTCATTTGAATAGGCATCACGGTTTTTTACTGATGATCTAAGAAATATAATAGGCCATTCTTTCTAATTTTAGTATTAACTTTGTAAATTCCTATATTTTTAGATTTTTGTTTATTTTTGTGGCTATATAAATTTTTTATTGAACTAATCTTTAGCGTTTTAACATCAAAATAGCCCATTTAGAATAGGAAGGCAAATGTTTTCTTTATCCGTCCTATAAAAATCATAAAAAAATATAGACCATTTAGCACATAATTTAACAAAAATATCCAATAATATTACTCTTCCAAAGTAAATAAAACATAAATCTTAAAGATTTTTTTGACTTGAGGTTAAATAAATTAATAGTGATTTAATGAGAAGACAGAAATTCTTTTAACAAAAACCCTCTTAGATTTTTTCCAACTTTTCTAAAAAATATTTAATCCCCTCAATTTGCTTTCTGCTTCAAATTCCGTCTACACAAAATTTTAAAAATCGTCATTTTCTGTTCTTTATTCTTTTAAAGGGAATGAATTTATCCAGCCATGAATTCGTTGGTCGTAAAGGGAAATTAAAGCCAAAAGGTACACAAAACTAACACTCATTTTCATATCAATGTGTGGAGGAAAGGGGGAAAATTTTTTTGGAAGGGGACTTGCTGCCAATTTGAACGTGCCAAACGGTCTTATGCTACCACCAAAGGTCGCTACTTTTTATTCCACCATCCGCATTGAGACCAATTCCACTTTGAATGAATTTATTTATTAGGAATGAAATTGCTTCTCAAGTTTCAGCCCCCTCACACCTAACAAAAAACCTTTATTCGGCTTTGCCCCCCTTTTTTTGGTGAACGAACGTGTATGTAACATGAAGCTAATATAAGGGTCGATGATCGAAAAAAAGCTTTCCAAAATGCTTAAATTTTAAGAAAATTTTTTTTATTAATTCACTTATTTTTGCTTTTCTATGTAAATGTCCTTGTTCCTTTTCTAAAATGCCAAAATTTTAGCATTTTAAAGTTTTTTGTTAATATTTTTATTTCCATTCTTAAAGGGGAATTATTTAATTGCGGTAAATAGAATAGAAATTCTAACAAAAAACACCAAACAGACAATAATTGCTTCATAAATCATAAACGACTTTAAAAAAATTTCTTTCGAATGTCTATTCTATTTTTTAATTCGCTTAATTTTTTATATTTTTAAAGGATTAGAAAAAACGTTTGTCGCTTTCTTGCTTTATTTTTAAATTCCATTCTTCTGTTTTCATATATCCAATTTTTGTACACATGTATTTTTAATCATGTTATTTTTAAGTTAAAAAATTTAGAAAATCCGATACGTTTACTCAATTTATGTGCATTCCATTCTCTCTAGTTTTAATGATAAATAGGGCAAAACAATAAAAAAACAATAATTAAATAAATAAAAAAACATCTAAAACTATTTTCCAATTCCCCCTTTTGGCTTTAAATAAGAAAAGTTTAGGGTCCAATTTACTGCTTCTCCCATGGGGGAAATTGTTCCTCTAAAACTCATCTTTTCAATTTTCGTTTATTAATTAATTTTTTATAAAGTAATTGAAAAAAACATTGAGGAAAATAAATAAATAAAAATTAAATATTTTTATAAAAATCTGGAATTTTTTTATTTGTTTTTTACCCAAAAACTTTACTAAATTTTTTCTTTATTTATTCCTCAGGCATTTTAAAACTAAAAAGCGGGGGATTTAATAATGGGACTTTTTTCAATCTCATTTTCGCAACAGGGAAAGGGGAAAAATAAAAGCTCTAATTGTTTCGCGCCGTTATTTGATGCTTTTCTTGTTATGAATGTACTTGACCATATTTTATTAGAATAATACTATTTTGAGTGTTATGGCACTTTTTATTAATATTTTTTCTAGCTTATTGTTATTTTCTATATTTGAGGCAAATTCCATTAAGTTTATGAAAAGATTTAATTTTATAGGGTTTTATATGTAGTTGAAATATTTAAAGTAACTTTTTTTTGACAAAAAGGATTTTTGAAGTTAAGATAGGAAACGGAAACAAAACAAGATTTTTTTAATTTTAGGTATTCCTAGATTAAATAATAAAAAGTATAATTAAAAAATGAAACCTTAAAATTTAATCTTTTTAAGATTAAGGACTTTATAAAATATTTTTTTGCAAAATCTTTTGTGATTATCTTCGCTAGATTTAAAAATCCTAAAGACTAAAATCCTTTGAATTTATCCCAAGGAGTTTATTATATACCGTAAATGCACTAATAAAAGCACGGCTTTATTAGAAGTCCATCTCGACACGAGGAGACCCATCGGAGAATATAAGCCCAGTCTCTAATAAAAGCCTATATCTAATATAATCTCAATCAAAGTGACCTATTGAAAAATATAAGCCCAGGGCTTATATTTGAGCGTTTAATACTAAAATTAAAATCCCTCTAATATTACATAAAATATTTAAAGGATGCTGTTATGTATTATTTTTTTGTTTTTTACAAGCAACCCTTCTCGTTCATCGACCATAATTGCTTTCAAAAAATATTTAGCACTTACATTAAGCTTAAAAACAAAAATTCGTTCCTTTACTTCTCCTAACTTTATGAAAAAAATTTTTTCTAATTTATCTTTGTGGACCAAAATATTTTTTTCAACAGCTTTTTGGACTATTGCCTTCTTTTTACTTTCCTATTTTCGCTTATTAGTTCCGCGCCAATACTCCTCCGTTCTCTAACTTGTTCTCTCCCGCTTCGCCGCTTCCTTTTGAACATTTATATACCTCCATTATACTTTGTTTTGCTTTTAACATAAAAATATTTATCCGCTTATAGTCTATTTAAACCTGAGGGCATTAATGTAGAAAAGGTTAAAAATAATATTTTTGTTAAATTAGGCTAGAAAAATGACGTTTGTTGGAGGTCCACCATTAGCATAAAAAAGTGAAATTGAAAAAAAAATTTGGGGGTTTTTTGTTGTGGTTCCTTTTAACTTTCTTATTTTTAAAATACCTAGTTCCTTTCTTTTCATTAATTTTTCCTTCTTTTCTTTCAATTGCTTCAAAACTTAATTGTAGACAATTCAAGTAAGCACAAAAACCGCTTTTTGTGCTTATTTGAATAATTAATTGCATGAAAATAAAAAAATAATAAGCAGCTGAAAAGCATTTTTTAAATAGTTTGCAATTAAATATTTTTTCTTCCTTTTTTCAGCTGTTCGTAATTCTTTCAATAATTAAGGAAACGATTAAAAAATTCATTTTTTATTATTCTTTTTTGAATATTTCTTATAAATTCCTGCTTATAATAAAAATGAGTCCGCCTTGGCAACTTTTGATAATCCTTGTATTGGCTGATTACTCACATAGAAAGGCATTTGCAAAACGGAGAAAATGTCCAGGTAAATTTAAAAATTAAATAAAATCTAAAATAATTATTTAGGTTCCCTGTCAGAAGACAAAATAATTGCGGAACTCTTTAGAAATTATACAAAAAAATTACCGGAAAGTGATGAACAAGATGAAAGTGTGCATGTTCAAATTGAGGTCTGTTTGATTTAAAAAGCTTATTATTGAGATTAGGACGTTACTCTGTCTCACGAAACCCAGACAATTTTCTTGACAAAAAACACCATCCAAACTCGAAGGCTCTCTAACCCGAGTTAACCCTGACCCCAAACCCTCTCCATATCCTCCCCTGCAAACTCCGATCTCCGACACTCCCGACCCCAAAATGTCGAGATGCTATCCTAATTAAAACAAATTAGTCGATCGATAAAAAAAATATTTTTTTTTCAGATGCATGTGCAAGATATGGGCTCTTTAAATGAAATTACTGCAGATTTTGAAATTGACATTTTGTTTACTCAACTTTGGCATGATCCATCACTTTCTTTTTTAAATTTAAGTAGTCAATGTGTTAGAAACATAACAATGGAATCTCGTTACCTTAAAGATATTTGGACGCCTAATACGGTTGGTTAATTTTTAATGAAGATTATTGACCCTATCCCAATATAAGGGCGGAATCGTTTTTTCCATTACTTTTCATTACTTTATAAAAATGGTCAATTTTCCTTAAAGTTGATGTATGTTGATGTTTGCCTTAAGGAAGAATGGAGGACAGACAATGACAGAAACACGGCGTACACAGAACACGGACGTGTGTGTCCGTTTTTGTCTGTCCGAGTCTGCCCGTGTTTTTCAGTCCGTGCTCGTCCGTGTTTTGTCTGTCCGAGTCCGTCCGTGTTTTGGACAGACAAAACACGGACAGACAAAACACAGACGGACTCGGACATACAAAACACGGATGGTCTCGGACAGACGACACACGTCCGGACACAGACAGACAACACACGGACGAACACGGACAG